CATAATGATTTGCCTACAATTTTTTAAAACCTTTTATAACTTTGATAAAAAAAAAAACATCTATACCAGTGTTATCCTGGCATTTACATGAAATTATGAAATTATCAAATATTTGGGACCAATAAGTCACTTTGCTGCAATCACATGAACTGCAGGGTGATTTTTGTTTTGAAGATTTTATATATAACAAATCACTCATAGTATTTATATAATTTTAAATATGGTCACTAAATGACCTTTAACTGCATAAACTACACAACATCCAACTGTTTATTTCAATACTTAAGAAAAACAAAGGCTATAAAATATGTTTTGAATATACATATATATGTGTAATATATATCACATTTTATATAAAATCTTTGTTTTATATTTTTATTTAGAAATTGTTAGTGCACATTAATAATCTTTAGGTGAACAATTAATCAGTGCTAGTTTATCCACTGGAAAAAAAGATGTTTGTTTCGTTAAACTTCAATCAAAGTCTGACCGTTTGCTTTGGCATTTGGTGTGCCATTTCTTCTTTGTTGACATCAGTTTGACTGCTTCAGCCACAATATTCGTAACCACGTCCCTTTAAAGTAAGTTTACTATGTTGGAATGATGCGCAAAAAAAAAGCCCCACTCCTACTCAAAATTCCATTTTAGTTGGAAGTACATCAAAATACTAAAAGTCTCAGCAACTTCCGGTTCACACAGACTTTAAAGTTTGAATTATTTCTTTTACATTACATTTAGCGGATGATTTTGTCCAAAGCGACTAACATTTACATTTACATTTAGTCATTTAGCAGACGCTTTTATCCAAAGCGACTTACAAATGAGGACAAGGAAGCAATTTACACAACTAAGAGCAACAATGAATAAGTGCTATAGGCAAGTTTCAGGTCTGTAAAGTCTAAGAAGGGAAGTATTAGTAGTATTAGTATTTTTTTTTTTTTGGGGTACAGTTAGTGTGATAAAAAATAATAAATAATAAATTACTCCCCCCCCCCCCAGGCATTAACAATTGAAGAGGCAACTAACAATTGAAGAGGCATTCAGCAATTCAACTACAGTAGATGCAATACACACAAGAAGTGCTAATCATACAAAGGATCTATTAGTACTCAGTGAATTAAGTGCTGGAGTAAGGAGGAGTTTCTGTTGAGTAAAAAGTGTTTCTACAGGTGGTTTTTGTCAAGGCCACTCATCTTTTGTTTCTTTCGTTTTTTTATGTTTAGATATATGGAGTGATTGTAAGAAAATGTCTGAAGCAAATGTGCAAAACTGGTGGAAGTGTCGGTTAAAGTTTCAAAGCGATAAAAAAGTGTTTTCTACAGGTGGTTTGTCAAGCCCACTCACCTGTGAGAGGCACACTCAGAATTGCATAATGTTTTGTGGCTGTCATGTGGTGTGGTGGGGGGGAAGAGGGGGTCCGGGTTTTTGTTAACTGGCATTTAGGTGATCACAGAAGACATGGGTTTTTAGCTGAGCCTTGCATTATGGTTATCACACATACACAATGAAGAGTTTGGAAGGTTTCACCCATATTTTATTATTTCAATATTTTATTTTTACATAAGCTCTTTGACTTTCTGAATTTGCTTAGATATTCTGACTCACGATGAGGCTTGATCTCTTTTTATCGCTTTAGCAGTGGCCTTGCATTACCCAAACGCAACATCTCATGCGCTTATGCTTAGATCAACAAGATAAGGCATTAATACATAATAGCAGTATGAAGCCAGTCCTCTCTTTAGAGTGAGCTATATTGAACTGGCCTGGGTCTAATTCACTTACAAGTCTGTCCCTGTGCATTAGAGTGCAACTCGAGAACACATACGTAATGAAATTGGGAGGGGCAAACCGGACACACATCTCACCTTTCAGTGATCTTATACAAGATTCTGGTGGAGCAATATATTAGAACATCCACTGAGGGTTTACATACAAAAATAATCTTATCTTACTGATGGGTTTGAATGGAAAGAACAAATAAAAAGCTATCCTTAATTTCAAAAGGCCTTTGAAAGTATCATGGAGTCACTGTCACAGTAAGAGACAGTGTTAGCTGAATAATGCTCTTTATTCTCCACATCTGTCATGGATTCTGCTTTTCTGTTGGCCAATTTTACAGTCTGCCTCTTTAGATCATGGTGCCTTACTCTTCCACTCTCTGCGTGAAATATTCCAAAGCCCCTCCTCTACATTTCCATATCCCAATCTCTTCATGCAAGTAATGAGATTGAACACTGGGGAATATTAAACTGCATATACCTTTATATACTGAATGCATTTCATAGGGAATATGCATATTTTTTTAAATGAGCTCTTTTGGTTTATCTGTACTGCAGCAACGAGTTAGGATGACAATCCCACTCTACAAATGTAATGAAGACTCCATAGAGAACATGTGGTTTTTAGTGGCTTTCCGCTTGTTCTTTTTATATAGCAGGAAGAACGTGATGCAAAAAGATTAGCAGTCAGTTATCAGCTTATTGTTACATGCATAACAATAATACTGTACACAGTACACACACAATAATGTCCATAAGTTTTTGCAAACTAGGGCAGGGTGGTGGGGGGAAGTAATTTATTATTTTTTTATTGTAGTTGGTTTATTATTCATTCTTAAGTAACAAATCAATCCTTTTCCACATTCTGTATACTCCATATTCAGTCATCTATTGGTTTTTCATTTGTGTACCTTAAAATTATTTAATTTGCTTCTAATATTCATCATTGGATGATCGTTCTAATTTATATTCATTGAATCAAATTAAATTTTGAAAACTAAATGAGGATCTTAAATCAAATTGAGTGCTTGCCAAAGTAATCAGGACATCTAAATAATTACACAACACTACTTCAAACTGTTTGATATGTCATGAAAAAACACACACCACACACAGGCAGATACATACAGTTGTTTACATACATATGAAACTCAGTGCATCAGCAGCTTGCTTACTAGCATTCTTCATAATAACTTTTTGTTCAATAATGTGAGAAATTCAAATTTGAAAAAAACTCCAGAGACTAAATGATGACCAATTTTAAAGTTAGCAATCTATTTTAGGTTTATTTGCATACACACACACAAAAATATGATCAAGTAGTCCTGACAGCATATGTTTTTAGGTCAGTGTAACTTATTCAACTAAGTTAAGCATGTTCTAACTTAATTTACTCTGTTACACAAGCTGTATTAATACAAGTTCAATGAACTCATAAGGTTAATTTGATTCCGCTAAAAATTTAGGGCAACTAGGATTTTTTACAGTTAGGTCCCAAACCTAAATTACTAAAATAATAATGGTAAGTCAAAAAAAATTAAAAGAGGTTGATTTGAGTATTGCTGAAGTGTGATTCAAATAAAAGGATATTTTACTAATCTATATTGAAGAAGCACTGACTAAACCTAATCTACTTATACTTATTTAAACACAACTAACTTATCTAGAGAACAGTAACAAGTGAACTTGACACTGTTGAATTATTAATCAGTAATGTTAATTTAAACACAGGTACAAGTACAAGCAGACATATGTTCAAAAGGCTTTTAAGTCTCTCTCTCTCTCTCTCTCTCTCTCTCTCTCTCTCTCTCTTTGTGTGTAAAGGCTGAAAACCCACGGTCTAAAGTAAGAAACCACCGTTTCATGTGATCTCCAGAGCAGCGTGATCTGAATTAACTATTTACTCAGCTAAAAAGTAGCTCAGTTGGCGGATGTACAAATAAGCGCATGTGTACCAGTAAACAGCGGCATACCTGGGCACACAGCTGGGAGAGGAGCTGTCAATCTCCCATGTCGCAAACAGGTTCATCTGAACCGGGCGACTGGCAGAAATCGTGACCGTCCTGAGAGGCTGCAGGTGGGGAGACGGAACTCCCGGTCTCTGCTGCTGCTGAAGTCCTCCGCGCTCCGACATGCTGAAGTCTGGGTATTCGCGCTGCCGCCGGTGTCGGTCGGTTTATCCGCTCGCTCGTGCGTGCAGTCCGTACAAATGATGACACTTTCATGGCACGAGGCTCTTAACGCTCCCGCCTCCGCTCGGCAGTGGATTCATTGGAGACTTCACTCACTTCACTCGCTTCAGCTTCGGGCTTGTGAACCGCTAGAGATCAAATGAGCGTTTAAAACAACAGCAGGAAGCGGAAATCTCTTCTTTAAAAACATATTGCAAAGCAACGCCTCTCGTGACCCGCGTACTTCAAGCGAGGGTTGAACACCGCGTCGCTTTCACTTAAATGTGAAGTCCTAATATTAAGTTTTAAAAATATTTAAAGATATTTAGGTTTAAAGGTAATGAAAGCAGACATAGCACTGTGATTTATATAGGCTATCGGTTGATAAAGAAGCAAAGACATCTGCTTAGCCAAATCAAAAATGTAGGTCTTTATTTTATCATAGAATAAGTATTGGAGTTAATTAATTGTTATCCAGTTAATGTTAATTAATTTTGAATTAGCCTATAGGCCTACTAATTTGACCTTGATGGGCCCAGTAACTGACTTTAAGGAATAGTTCACCCAAACCCTACACTCTAAAAAAAATTCCGTAAAAAAACGGTAAAATGTACTGGCAGCTCATTACACAAATATTTTACCGTAAATTAAAAACGGAAAACTTCTGTTAATTGACTGTGTTCACATTAAAAAAACTACAAAATATCCGTTTTTTGACGGTTAAACTACTGTAAAATAACGAAACATTTTATAGTAACTTAAGGGTTTTCTATATAAAAAAACGGTTATTTTCTGTGTTTTTAAGGGTATACCAACAGTAAAAAAGCGGAAATATTTTGTGTTTTAATAGTATACCTATTGTAAAAAAACAGACAGATTCTGTGTTTTAATAGTATACCTACTGTAAAAAAACAGACAGATTCTGTGTTTTAATAGTATACCTACTGTAAAAAAACAGACAGATTCTGTGTTTTAATAGTATACCTACTGTAAAAAGAGGACTTTTTTGTTTTTTCAATAGTATATATACACAGTGAAAAAATGAACAGATTCTTTGTTTTAATGGGATACCTACTGTAAAAAAATTATTATTTTACTAATTTAATGCTCTTCAAGCAGCATAGAAATGGCAGTTGGTAAGGATAAACATATACATATGGGAAATACACTATTAATGGTTTACCATAGTAAAAAAAAACATTTATTCTATACTGTATGTGTAAAGAAGCAGTAAATAGTTTGTTAACTGTGAACATACAATTAGTACAAAAACAACTTTGCAATTAAAACAGATTCTTTAATGAATACAAATCATTTGAATTCCAAATAGCTAGTTATACACACAATAATACATATTGACATGTGAATCACACAGTGAGAGGTCTTGGCAAATAATCTCATAGCAAATTAGTTTTAAATGTTAGCTTTAAGATAATTGAGGACAAGTGGGCAAATTACAAGTACTTTACATTAAGAAACCAGGTTAAACTGCAAGATGGCAGGAAACAGACGATACAACTGGGTCTTCTTCCGCTCCAATACTGATACTTCAATGGCTGTAAAACAAAAACAACAACAAAAAAACATTACTAATGACATTTCACTTACAACTGAGGTGATTCCTTGCATGTCAATAGTTTACACAAATGGAAGTTTTATCATCATCTTCTTGTCTCACTCTTGTAATTTCAAGCCTGTCTGACTGACATACTTCCACAGAACAAAGTAGGAGAAATAGGAGCAACATTCTTTAAATATGATATTTTGCGTTTTGCAGAGGAAACAAAGTCATACAGGTTTAAAATGTCAAGAGTGAGTAAATTATGAATTATCAATTATTCAGTTTTGGGTGAGAAATCACTTTAAGATTTTTCAAAATAAAGTGTAGGTACTTTTGACAATATTCGGAACAATAATGCAAGAGAGAAACAGTAATATAAACAAACTATGCTGGTAACACTATAATAACTACAGGCTATGATTCATTTATGAAGCATTAGCAAATAGTGAATTCATTATCTGTTAAGCATTGACTCTAAATTAATAGATGTTAGCAGTCGGTTATAAATACAGCTGCAAAATTTGCTACAGCTACAGTTTAATAATTGTGTTATCAAACTTTAATGATTGATTTTAAATTACTATTTATATATATATATATATATATATATATATATATATATATATATATATATATATATATATATATATATATATATATATATATATATATATATATATATATATATATATATATATATATATATAATATTATATTTAATATTGCATTATTTACAAAACTTCTTCCAGTTGTGGCCTAATCTGTGAGGATTATTCATGACTTATAAATCCTTATAAACGACAGTTAAAGGCTCAGTATCAAATGAACATTCTTATCTAAACAGTCTTATCTAAAAAATGTAATTACTGTAAATATGAAACCTTGCTGAATAGCTGGAGTGCCAAAATATAACATAAAACTGGATAAAACAACACTAAAATAATTTAATGATATTACGATGCAACATTTCAGTGTTATTTAGCTATGTTTAAACTGTACAGTAATTTTATTTTAGATAAGATTTATTTTTCATTTAATACAATAAAATGAATTTCATTTTTAGAATATAACTGAATCTTTAATTGTGATTTATAAGGGGATTTACAAAGCATAAACAATCCTCACTTTAGGCTACAAAACTGGATGAAGTTAACAAAAGCACTTATTAAAATAAATATTGTATATACTTTATATACTTATTTTTTGTACTTTATTTACAAATATAACTATTACAATTCATTCATGTATTTTCCTTCAGCTTAGTGTGTACTCACACTATGTATAGTTGCCTTAAACCAGGCCGAAGCACTCTTGTCTTCCCTCCCGTCTCCCCTGACGTCCCACACTCACATTGCATTCGAGCCTGAGCACTCTTACATCATCGATATTGTTTATATTGTTTTATAGATAGTTATATTGTTTTAGTCATTTGGGATGCAGTAACACGCTGTCAAATATTTCGCCGAACAGATCAGCCACTTTTGATGTTAATAAACAATCATAAATTCCTTGTGCTGCAGGAATAGGAGGTTTGCTAAAGGCGCAGCTGTGGTGCAGTAAGGGGTTTGCGTTCATTGAACAGTAATAGTGATTAATTTATCCAAATCAAAGTCCCTTGCAAACTGTCATAGATTAAAGACACAAACCCCTCACTGCACAACAGCTGCACCTTTAGCAAACCTCCTAGTACCTGCAGCACGTTGACTTTGATTGTTTATGAGCGTCAAAAGTGGCTGATCTGTTCGGCGAAATATTTGACTGCGTGTCACTGCATATTGAACAACTAAAACGATATAACAATATAAAGAAATCTCCACTGTGCTGAGTGAGAGCACTTGTTAAACTGAACAGTGCATTATTGATGATGTAAGCATGCTCAGGCTCGAATGAAATGTGAGTGCAGGTCGTCGGGGAGACAAGCACGCTTCCAGTTTCAAGGCAACTGTGGATAGCATGAGTACGCCCTTGAAAACACCCATACACACTTATTTACAAACACACTCATACACTACAGCCAATTTAGTTAATCAATTTCCCTATAGCTTATGTCTTTGGACTGTGGGGGAAACCTAAGCACCCGGAGCTCTACTTGCTGTGAGGCAACAGTGCTAGCCACTGTGCTGCCCAACTATTACTATATGCCTGAATAATAAGATATATAAATGTTAGTTTGAATAGTTTATTAACCATTTACTTACACATTCTGAATGATTAAAAAAAAAATACACCAACTATTCTTAAATCACTGGTTTGTAAATAATGCTATACTAAATTTAGTAATGAAAAATTAATCATTAACAAAATATAAAAACAAAATCATTAAGCACATTATAGATGTGCTTATAAGTCAAGATTACAGCATTTGCAGCTGTAGTTATAAACTGTATACTAAGGTCTATTAATGTAGAGTTAATGCTTAACAGAACTTTTTGCTAATGCTTAATAAATTAATCAATAGTGTTTAGTTATTATAAAGTATTACCAGTGTGCTTAATTACCTTTAAATCTTCCAAGGATTCTGAAAGTCTTTCTGGTCTGACAGGAATCGAAGGAGTTTAGATGGTATGTTTCTGCTTGGTGCTCTTTTTTTCTGCTTTGGACCTACATTCTGGATAGTTACTCAGCATGCTCCTGTTGTAAATACAACAAACATGTATCAACTTACTTGTCTTATAAAAATGAAATAAACTTAAAAATGTAAAAACAGACCTTCATATAAACTCCAGAGTCAGGGCTGCTTCCTTAGGCTACATAATGTTTAGCACATAAGAGACTAAACATGTAGCTCACCACAATTAGGGGACAGCCCAATGATCTTGTTATTGTGACTGTGGACTCTTCTTCTGAAAAAAAGAAAAGTGAGTTGTGTGTTGGGTCTTGTACACGTCCACATGGAAAGAACCTATATAAACATATGGTTTAATATAGGTTTTGATTTATGTTTTTGAAATATGTGACAAATATAAAATTGGCTGTTTTCCTATATTACATGTACATATATGGGTACATATATGCACACCTATATGTTAAATTATTAATATTATAAATAATATTATAAATATTATAATTATTATGTAAAATTATTCAAATACATGTCTGCTACATAATTTAAAAGAAATTAAAATATATATATTTACTTAATCAAATATTACAAGAAATAATTATAGTGCAAGAACAAAAATAAGGCAAAAAAAAAAAACAATAAAGGAAAGAAAACAAAATTAAAAAAAATGACAAACCATTTTGTTTTACATTTCTTTCTTTTCCACTATCTTTATACAAGAAAGAATTGACCTTGAAAATGTTTCAGGAAAACGTGTAGACATCATAGCTTTCCATCTCCTCTCACTTATTTGCCATAGTTAAATTCCATAACATGCCAATAACATGTGATACAAAAGTCAAGTGGCACATACATAAGTTTTTCGCATTTTTTAAGTTAGTTCTTACCCAGAGAGCAAACCTACGTTAAATTAACATTGAATAAATGTTAAAACATCAATCAAACTATCATTGAAACAACGTTAAAAAGTCACCACTGATTTTTAGGCAGTTTTCCACCCTGAAATAATGGTAATTCTATGATGATAAATAGACAAAACTGTCCCAAAATCAGCATTTATTTAACCAAAATTAAATCTTTTTTTTTTTTTTACAATGAACCCAACATTAAATAAAATGTTAAATCAACCACACTATCATACAATTAATGTTGAAATTTAAATTTGATTTTTAGCCAGTTTTGCATCCTGAAATAATGTTATTACAATGACGCTAAATAGATTAAACGGTCACAAAATTAGCATGAAGGCCTGGCTCACCATCAAGATGCCCACATTGAAATTGTCTCTCTCATCATCAGGTGGCTAAGAGAGAAAAGAAAAGAGATTCAGCAGTGGACCAGTTATTTCCTTATCACTTTAAGCAGACATTACCAAAATAAAGAACTTGTAACATTTCAAATGATGCAAAAATAAATAATAATAATAAATAACTGCTTGGTTTATTTAACAGATTATAGTAGCAGCTTAAAAAACCCAGATAAAACACCCACATCAACCCAGTACTTTTTAGTTTGAATACATGTTAACAAAATTCTAAATTACTGAAGCAAAATGTGTTCATGTAAACACTTAGTAAAAATATAGGTACAAGAAATTGGTTTTGCCAAATAATAAAAATAAAAGCATCAATATAAAAAAAAAACCCTGACCATTTTACCTCTAAAGCTTGAAAGTTTACTGTCATCCCCTGTACTAAGTACAGATGGTCCAGCACAACTGCCCGAGTTCTGAAAGAGCAAACACATTCTTGGTAAAATGACAATAGATGCAATGCTAAATATAAATCATTTTTTATTTTTTGTATTATTTATAAAAATGCAGTAGTGACCAGTCAGCATCAATTTTTACACCAACACACCTACAACAAAAATAACACTCATTCAGTTTGAAACATGCAACGTAGTCTACTTTTATACTTTACATACTTTGTGAATAATAAAAAAATGAAAACATTTAAAACCCCAGCTGTATTTTATTTCATTTGTCTATATCAATTCAAATTTAGTTTGGATTGAACGTAAGATTTAATATTTTTATTAAGATTGCTGTGAAAATGTACCTGTACCTTGTACTTATATCCAAAATTACAGAACCTGGAAGTCAACAAAGCAAAATATCAGTGAACCTTATATGTACAAAAACACTTAAAACCAAACAGAAAAAACGCTGAACATTTTACCTCTTAAACTTCAAAGTTTACTGTCATCTCCTGTATAAGGTACAGAGGGTCCAACACAACGGCATGAGTTCTGAAAGAGCAAACACATTCTTGGTAAAATTACAATAGATGCAATGCTAAATATAAATCATTGTTTATTTTTTTGGTTAAAAAATGCAGTACTGACCAGTCAGCATCACTTTTTACACCAACACACCTACAACAAAAATAACACTCATTCAGTTTGAAACATGCAGCAGGTAGTCTACTTTTAAACTTTAAACTTTGTAAATAACAAAAAAATGAAAACATTTAAAATCCCAGGTGTATTTTATTTAATTTGTCCATATTAATTTAAATTCAGTTTGGATTGAATGTAAGATTTAAGATTTTAATTTAGATTGCTGTGAAAATGTACCTGTACCTTGTACTTATAACCAAAATGACAACATAAACATAAAGCAAATCTTATATCATATATCAGTGAACATTATATCTACAAAACACTCAAAATCAAACTGAACAACCCTGAACATTTTACCTCTTAAACTTGAAAGTTTACTGTCATCTCCTGTATAAAGTACAGAAGGTCCAGCACAACTGCCTGAGTTCTGAAAGAGCAAACACATTCTTGGTAAAATGACAATAGATGCAATGCTAAATATAAATCATTATTGTTATGGTTAAAAATGCAGTACTAACCAGTCAGCATCAATTTTTACACCAACACACCTACAACAAAAATAACACTCATTCAATCTACATTAAAAGATTTCATTTGCGATAACACCATGTGTAGTTCACTCTATTATCAAGGTTTATTCAAATAAAACTCCTGATCTCCTAATAGTAAAGAAAGTATTATTTGCTATAATGAATCGAACTGACAATTAGTTTGAAGAATTTTAAGACTGTGGAAGAACAACTCATCTTTATATCTTCATATTAGCTGCCCTTGAGGTTCTTAAAAGTGAATAAATAAATATCAATGACAGTTCAACTCGACTACAACAAACATTTAATTGTGTGCTTTAAGGTACACGTTGTAGGCTATGTGAGGCCGAAAACGCATGACAGTGTAAACACTATAAATACTTTTAAATGTCACACACTTACTGTATCACTCTGTTATCTCTGTACACACAAACACACGTCGCGAAATGCGGAAGTTTTTTTTTCGTTCCATTTGGCGAGCGTTATTAAATTCCATAACATTCTCATCAGTTCTTGCTTCTTATTTGCGTCTATTACCCCAGTTTGTCACGCGGGATGAATGAAATGTTCATGAGTTAAAGTGAAACTGCCGAACTGCAGTTAAAGTCAGGCATTCTGCTGATTTGATTCAGAAGGGCACTTGTTTGTCAGACGGCTCACCTGTCAGGTATACATCCGCGCTAACGTAAAATGTCAAAGTATGAAAGTCACCCATGAGCTGCAGCTCCCAACCCAACGTTGAGAATAGATTAACGGCGATATATATTTTTTATCGCGCGATAAGTCTCGCGTTAACGCAGCACGTTACTGCTGATAACGGCCCACCACTAATAATAACTTAACGAGTGTGTATTTCCACTCATACCGAGTTACAAATTTCTCCAATTCACGCGAGTATAACTTATAACTTAACGTTACTTAAAAACCAGCAAAAGCTGCCACTGAAACTCGGTCACACAGCCTTAATACGTCGGTCAAACTAAAGCTAACATTTGATAACGTCAGTAAAAATATGAAATTAGTTATTAATATGCAAACAAACACAGACGGTCAGGTGTTACGAGCGTTTGAAACACGTTGACGTTAGTGTTCATTAAAGGTAACGTATATCAACCAAACTACACAGTGTCACAAACTTTGAATGCTATCCCTTGTTCAATGCACTGTACAAAGAAAACATTTATATTTCTATTAAATAATTAACATACCTTTCACACTCTCACAGACAAGCTGACGTTTACCGTTAATCCAGTCAGACTCACGCAGGTGCAGAGAGAGTGAGTGGGTGATTGGGACGTCACGTCACTTCCCGCGCACGGCAGTTTAGAAAAATACGGACAAACAACTGTAAATGAACAGATACCATATTTACTGATGAGGAAAACGCATAAAAAGGTAAAAAATCATTAGGTAAATGCTTGTTTAAATTACATTTAACCACTCATAGCTCAGTTTGATCTTAATGAAATAAAGTCTGATCTTATTAACAATATTAAACGTAATTCACTGCTGTACTTTCCATGGGCACTTCATACAAGACAAAATCATTTTAAATAACGATAAAAAGGTATTAAAGCAGTCTTTTAACTAAAATATTGTTATATGTTTTATTAATCGTACTTACCAGGGAAAAAACAGAGGAAGAAATATGTCCCGATGTCCATCAAACGCTGCCTGAGCTGCGATCCCCTTCCCACAATGCAATTCGAAAATGTATATAAACGGAAAAACACCCGTAATACGTGTATACGGAAAAAATCTGTTAAAATATACAGTCATTTAACTGTTATTTTACAGATTTTTTTTACAGTGTAACTTATAAAACTAGTCTTCTCTTCAGCCTATCCTAATACTGCTGCTCTGCACAAGAAGTTTGGCCAGAGGAGAAATGGTCGTCCCCAACTGAGCCTGGTTTCTTTTTTTTTCCTTCACTTTCGTCAGTTGGTAAAGTTTGTTCCTCACCATTGTCGCCACTGGCTTACTTGGATTGGGACTTGTGCTTTGATGGATTTGCTTTTCAGCGTTTGGACTTTCAGCAGTGAAAATTAAACCACACTGAACTGAACCGAACCTCAACTGTGAAAACTGGACTGACACTGTTTCAATTTTGCTTGAACTTAAGCTGATTTGACACAATCTACATACAATTCACCAGCATCACCACGCCACACTTTGAGCTAGACTTTTTATTGTCGAGATGTAGGGATGAAAGGGGATGGTAAGAGTACAGTAGGATGAAGGGGAAGGGAAGTAAGAAGATAAACAGTGAACAGGTAGGTACTGTAGGTTGATTCGGCATCCTAAGATGATGTCCAGAGACTCAGAGTGGGGATACCGTCTTTGTAATATTTTTGTCGAGTGATTGGACCCCCCGATTCAATTTAGGAGTGAAAAGAGTGTTGTGGGATTATGAATAGGAGGCGAGGAAAAAGAGGGAGGGTGGGTTCGGAAGAACAAAAAGAACAGTGCTAAAGGGCTTTAGAGAGTAGGTGATTGGTTAAGGCAGGGGTATCAAAACTCGGTCCTGGAGGGCCGGTGTCCTGCAGATTTTAGCTCCAACTTGCTTCAACACACCTGCAAAGATGTTTCTAGAACGCCTAGGAAGAGCTTGATTAGCTAGCCCAGGTGTGTCTGATTAGGGTTGAAACTAAACTTTGCAGGACACCGGCCCTCCAGGACCGAGTGTGGACACCCCTGGGTTGAGGAGACAAAGTCAGGCCTGGTTCTGCCGCCGAACCTTTGTCAACAAGTTAACTCTATTTAAAAAACACAACTATGTTGACACAACTATGATGATGTTATTACTATTGTCAGTATTGAAATTGTTATTTTTTATATTATGTTGTTATTATTATTGTGTGTGCACTAACATGTGAGTTTGTTGTGAACGGCTCTTTAGAACCCCTTTTATTAGGTGGCAGTCATTGTTAATTAAAGTACATGTAGATATTATTTGTGGAATTCTTATAATTTATTTTCATGTGATACACAAGGTGACTATCAGTTTGAGGCGCAGCATTAGTCATTACTCCTCAACATGTACATTTATATGAGAAAATGAGCAAATCAGCAAAGACTGCCACTTCAATCAACTGAAACCATTCTGAAATGGCAGAAAATATAACGTCATAATCGTAAATTTATCTTTATCTATCTCCTTCTCTAGCTCTCTTCCTATCTTTTTTTAAACACAACCCACTTGAATCTATTATGGTAGTGGCAGCTCCTAAAACACTGCAGCCACCCACGCTGGCACTGTTTGTAGTTTATCTCTCCCTGACAGATTGGAGCCAGAGAGAAGTGAAGTTTCATGACATCAAGTCCCGAAACATGCAGACTGCCAAGGATTAATCAAAAAGAGCTCTGAGTTCCTTACACTTGCTGCATTTTAATCCTTCTGGATAAAGCTGAAGCTGAATACACATTCCCTAAAGGTTATAAGGTCTATTTCAAGACCGTTCTGGAAATTGTGAGTAAAAATGCTTTCACAACACTAGTTCACATTCCCATTTCCCTTGAAGCTTTTGATAGGAAAGCCTAATTTTGCATGCTTGACGAAGAGAATCAAGAATGAAAGATAAATACTTGTTTGCTTTAGTCTGTTCTGGTTTTATCTCTCATCTGAGTTATAATCAGACACCCAGAATCCTCAGATAAACAAATACATGTTGGATGTTGTTGATTCTCTCTCTCTCTCTCTCTCTCTCTCTCTCTCTCTCTCTCTCTCTCTCTCTCTCTCTCTCTCTCTCTCTCTCTCTCACCTCTCTCTCTCTCTCTCTCTCTCTCTCTCTCTCTCTCTCTCTCTCTCTCTCTCTCTCTCTCTCTCTCTCTCTCTCTCTCTCTCTTCCCCCTTAGGTTGAGCAATATGGGTCATGTTTAAAAGCACAGTCAGATGACAGTCACATTATTATAGCTCTTTACTGCCCCCTTTTGGGCAATAAACATTTCATTTGAACATATTCCAAACTGAAAGACATTTAAAACAGTCAATGTATTGCCAAGCAGTGTTTTTATGTTCAATAGTGAGATATTTTAGTCTATTGGTTGAGGTTCATTTTTAAATGATAAAGTATACTGTAGAAAAGCAGAATATTGGTGCATAGGACACAGTCATTCACATTTGTTGAAAGTCTATATTGTTTACAAACATATTTTGTAAATGTATTGTATGTCATATGCCTTGCATTTTGAGAAGAAGTTAACGTTTTGTTAATTTTTCCTGCAGTCAATAAATCTGCATTGTGAGACTACAAGCCTTAAATGTCTGTTGTCTAAATAATAACTTAGTAAATATTATAAAGTTCACTTCTTTGTTTACTTCTTCGTAGGCGGAAGGTCAATTATTCAGATGTATCATCTGTTAAACTGCATCCCAATCATCATAAATACTGCAGAAGACCTATTGGACATGCATGGACCCAAGATTCTCATAGAAATCAGTCAAGTTTGGTGAAGGAAAAATGATGGTTTGGGGTTACATTCAATATTAGATCTGCAGAGTGGATGGCAACATCAACAGCCTGGGGTATCAAGACATTTGTGCTGCCCATTACACTACAAATCACAGGAGAAGGCAAATTCTTCTGCAGGATAGCACTCCTTCTCATACTTTTCATTTTCATACTTCCACATCAAAGTTCCTGAAACCAAAGATGGTCAAGGGGCTCCAAGTTTGGCCAGCCCAGTCACCATACATAAACATTATTGATCATGTCTGGGAAAAGATGAAGGATGAGGCATTGAAGATGAATCCAACGAATTTTGATGAATTCTGGGACCCCTGCAAGTATGTTTCCATTGCCATTCTAGATGACTTTATTAATAAGTTATTTGAGTCATTGCAGAGATGTATGGATTCAGTCTTCCAAGCACATGGAAGTCATACACAATATAAGATCTTTTTCCACTACACCATGACTTTATATGCTATACATTATTTCTGTTAAGTGACGACTTTTGTCTTAGCAAAGTCAGACCATACTGTTCTAATTAAATAATTAAAAATCAAGGTATGATCATATATATATATTTTTTTTTTGGTCAAATAAGTGTAAGCTAGAGGCCTTTAGCATATTAGCCACTTCTGATACCAAATGATCATCTAGAAGTCAAGTTATTATTCGTTGTTCATAAAACTTAGATAGGCGACAAGACTTTTGTCAGGCAGTGTATAGTCAACCTTTCTCCATTCCCTTCTGCTGTAGAAAAGTGAAGCCTAAATTGTTCCAAATATCATACGTAGGTCTATTGATTTTTTTATGTAAAACTTTTATTTAGAAACTAAGAAATGTACAATATAAATCAGGAAATAATCTGTAAAAAATTAAATACAAGTTCACACAATTACAGAGTGATTAAGAACAATAAATAACAAAAGAAAAATGGAAAAGAAAGGAAAAGAAAAAAGTGCTAAATTAAAAAAAACTCACAGAAAGCATCAAATATTAACTTAAGTATGATATTTTCTTTTAAATTACTAAATTTTGTTGTCGTTAGTTAAACCACCTGCCCAGGTGGGCCCCACGCGGGACAGCCCAGTTGGCCCCAAGCGGGCCTGCCCAGGTGGATTCAGGGCACTTGCCCCAGCAAACATTGCTAGGGCCCCAGTAAATGCTTTGAGGTACAATTTACTTTATATGCAAGTGTATTTATTAAGACTGGTAATCAAGGAATAAAGATGTTATTCTCTTTGTGCAACCGAACTAATGATGGTGAGAGCAATGTAGTTTAATCAAAAAGCAAACTGAGCATGTGCGCAGAAAAAACAACATACCCGTGCGCCCAAGCGGGCTTGGCCAGGTGGGCCCCAAGCAGGCCAGCCCAGGTGGGGCCCACGCGGGCCAGCCCAAGTGGGCCCCACATGAGCCAAAAAAACAAACACGTGCTCCCCACGCACACGCCTCTCCTGCTTGATGCTGACATGCTGCTCTGCTCCCGGTGTAAGTCAACGTTTAAATTAAAATGTGATTTTAAAAGTTAATTAAAATGGCACTGTTATTACAAAGTTAAAAGAAAACTTTTGCAGTACTTAAATGTAAAGTATTATCATAAAGTAGCCTATTTATCAAAACCTGCAAATGTTTCTTGCACCTCATAAATTTAGGTTATATACATATTTGATAAATTTTGAAATATATGTTGCATGTATGTATGACTTATTTGTATATCTTTGAAATTAGATGTTAACTTGTATTTTAAATATATGAATTGGATTTACATATTTAAATTAGAAACTAGATCTGCTTACTGCTCATTAGAGTAGGCTATGTGTGTCAGAGAAACAAATGATTAAACTGTACTTGTAAACATTGGGATAAAAACTTTACAATGTATGCCCCCAACAACCGTTACAAGTATGGGGAGGAAAATAACCTCAAATGATAGAATACATAGCAAACATTAGAAAAATTAAATCAAAATAAAAAGTTTAGCCTATTAAAATCAATTTCCTGATCACATCGTTGTTATCGTACGTTAAAAGAGTTAAAAGTGTGCTCATTTTTTTTACTTGAATTATTCAGCGATCCCTCTGCGTACCACTAGAAGGAAGCCTGTGTACCACTTGTGGTACATGTACCACAGTTTGAGAACCAATGATCTATAATAATTCAACATATTTTTATTTTTTATTTACTTACCATCTTTTTTCCGTTAAAAATAGTTTGATTTTTTCCTTTGTCCTTTACTTTTGTATTATGCTGTTATTATCGTGTTCTCTTACCACATGCCTTTTGTTTATAATAAAGAGTGTAGAAAGAAAGAAAGAAAGAAAGAAAGAAAGAAAGAAAGTAAGAAAGAAAGAAAGAAAGAAAGAAAGAAAGAAAGAAAGAAAGAAAGAAAGAAAGAAAGAAAAAGAAAGAAAGAAAGAAATGTCATGCATCTGTCACTTTTTTGGCGTTTGTCAGGGTGGACATTAGTCTGGTCATAGTCATTTACCAAGGCATTCTGAAGTAAAAACATATAGGTTATTTTAGGCGACCAGTCTATCAAATTCTAATGTGCAAATGTCTCCAACAAGTAAAAAATATCAATGCAGGTCTTCGAGTATCCTCTTTCAGGGTCTCCTGGCGCCCCCTTGAGGAATTAAAACTGCTCGTGTGGTTGTAAATAATTTGGAACCATTACACGCACGCGAGCACGCGCTCCGCACTGCAGTCACTTTTAGAAGCCTGTAAAAGCTGGGACAAAGCTATGCAATAAGTTAACCGTGCAAGATATCGTTCCACAGTCATATTCAGGATTTGGATAGTGCTATTTTAAGGTAAGTCACAATACTGTTACATATAATATCATCTTGTATTTACACTCTCTCCAGATTGTCAACAGGAGTATGTGTGTTATCTTTACCCCCTATAAACATAATGAGTGTACGACTGTTCCCCCTGATTTCTATTTATCATTTCAAAAACATATCATATTACATCTGCTCTTAAATGTGAATACCTATGGTTATGACGTAGAAATACATAAATAATTCTAACAATGTGAAAAGGACAAAGAAAAAAATAATTGACATAATGTGATGTGTTACAGCAGTGGTCCTTACTTTGTGTCTCTGACAGGTCTTCAAGGATGGAGCCAATTTGTGCCATGGGAGTTGCTGCTCGCTTGAGGAGTGAGTGGGACCGAAACGAGGGATTTGGACAGAACCACATGGCCCTGAAATTCTTGGGCCAGGATTTTGAGTCCTTGCGTACTCGCTGCCTTCAGAGTGGACATCTGTTTGAGGATGATATTTTCCCAGCCCAGCAGTCATCCTTAGGATTCAAGGAGCTGGGCCCCAACTCTAGCAAAACCAGAGGTGTGCGCTGGATGAGGCCAACGGTGAGAGTCTGTAGAGTCTGTGCGTGCTAACATTTCAACCCAAGCATGATAAAAACTTAATATGCATAAATTAGCATGGATAAATAATGCAAAGTGTTTCACTTTCTCACATACTTCAATCTGCATTTATATTTGCATAATATTTAAAGCGGCAGATTTCATCCAAATCAAAAACTCTCATCATTTACTCAACAAATTAAATTGAAATTATTTTTAATAGTACTTTTACAGCAAAATACTGTAATACAGTTAAAAGAAAACTAGTAATAAAATGGTCCTGTCAACCCACATGACACCTCAGTGCTTTGAGTCTTTCACATTTGACTCAATATATCACTCAGATATATCCTTCTGGGTGAAATGTCCAAGTCGCAATATCTACAGGGGTGCCTCAGAGGGATCCTTCTGGAGTCATTTAACTTCCTTATCAACTCATCACCACTGATCTATTCTTCATGAATGTCTCCATCCAGCTCAGCAAATCACACATAACTACTTTCAATGACAGATCACATTATTAAAACAGGTCATTTATTTTTTTAAATACCTTCAGCTGCATCATTTCATTAAGTCTTTGTCCAATGAGGGTAAACTGAGATTGCAGCCAGAGCAAATTGTAACAAGCAATTTTCCAAGGGACTAATATCCAAAATATACTAAGCTCTGTCTAACTCATATACTTCTTCCTTTGAGAGTTTGAAGAGCATTTGGGAAAAAGATTTGGGTCGCGTAACTGAAGATACAGATTGGTCTGAAATATGTAACAATTCGTTTTCTGAATGTATTCCATTGAGTGTTCATGAGCTCAATTATAAATTCATTAACAGAGTTTATCTTACATTCATAGGCCTAAAAAGATTTACAATCTTAATAAATGCAAAGGAACATTCCTTTATTGTTTCTGGTATTGTGACAAAATCATCTCTTTTTGGATGAAATACATGATTTTCTACAAGGACTCTTTAAGATAGCGTTTTGTTTTTCTCTGGAATTTTAGTTGTTATGTGGTGGAGTGGAGGATGTGTTGGATTCCCACACCAAGCATTCGTTTTTAATCTTGTTCTGTCTGGCAAAGAAATGTATATTCTATTGTGGTTATCTCCTCAGGTACCCGCCTTTAAAATGTGGTTGTCTCAAGTATACTCTATTTCTATTGGATAAACTCACCTATGATATGCATCAAAAGTCTTTTGGAAGCTATGGACAACTTTTTGGCACCACATTAATAATTTCTCGTGATTTTCTATTCTATGGTATATATTTTAGCTCCTAGCCTGACTATATTATCCTGTTTACTTGTTAGCATATTTCCCTTTTTTCCTACTGTATAGCTGAGACTGTATTTGTATGTGCTGATTTATTAAAATGACCGACGATTAATAAAAAAATAGAAATAAAAAACAGACCATTTCTGTAGATTCGTCTTAAATAATATCCGAATTATTAGACCATTCCTATAAAAAAATGGTACACAGCTCAGGCCCCTATACTATATTGACTGGACTATCGCAATGCTCTCTTTGCAGGTCTTCCAGTCAGCACAATCAAGCCTCTGCAACTGGTCTCATTTACTTGCATTGATTTCTAGACCTTAACTGCTTATTATGCTGCTTGATGTTTCAAACTGATATTTTCTTTTATTATTATTTCTTCTTATATTATTATACTTTTTAGTCGTGAACACACTTGTTTGTAGAGCAAGTAGCTTAACCATTCTGCTATTTATTATTCATTTCTCCCGTAGGAAACTGAATCTGAAGTTCTAAAACATTCAGAAAAATGAGCACACTTCCACATTGCAGAATAAGGTCAAAATAAGCTTCAAATGCAAGACTCTGATGTTTGCCTACAAAATGACTTCTGTCTGTGCACCTCTTTATCTAAATTCACTACCTCAAACCTCTGTGTTTGCAGAAGCTTGTCTTCTGTAAGCGACACATTGTGATGCCAACCCAAAGAGGCGTGAAATCACCTTTAAGGACTTTTACCTTGACAAATACCTCTTTAGCTATTTGTAAGAGATGAATAAAACACTAGCACTCTCTATTCTATTTCTATTGTATCTGTGTTTTTTTTTTAAAGCCAAAAAAGAAGAAGCCCTTGCTACTTGAAGTGTAACATTCACCACACTTTTGCTGGCCGATTGCTTCAGTTATCCTCATTTGTATGTCACTTTGGATAGCTGATTGAATGTAACTGTTAAAATCCATTTATATGTCAGTAAGTAGAGATATTCCAGTGATTTCTATGCCCTGTCTGACCCATAGGTCTTCTCTGTGTACCTCAGGAGTTCTGCTCTGACCCACACTTTATCGTAGATGGGGCTACACGCACTGACATCTGCCAAGGGGCTCTAGGTAATACAAGAAACTGCTGTACTTCAACAGAACAAAACCATTACACACTCCAAAGCACACCAGTTTACCCACAAATAAAAGGCTATGCTTTTTTGCAAATGAGTTACTGATGAAGCTGTAATGAAGCGTTATTTGATAATCTCATCTGTTTCACTACACTTTTGTTGTTGTTGAACACAATAACTGTAGGTGATTGTTGGCTGCTGGCGGCCATTGCGTGCCTTACACTAAACGAACCCTTGCTGCGACGGGTGGTTCCTCATGGCCAGAGCTTCCATCAGCAATATGCCGGAATATTTCACTTCCAGGTATTGAATACTTTCAAAATAACATTTGACCCTATTTATTTTAATTCTAATAGTTGTTTGTAAATTTGAATGGTAACACTTTACAACAAGGTTACATTAGTTAATGTTAGTTAAAGGTGCAGAAGATCATCTGCCTAAATGCTAACTGGTTAGCATAATATCTTTTAAATACAATCCCTTCCCTGTTGTCCAAGCCATGCCTCCTGAAATCGTGAACATGCAAATTAAGGATGGCAGAGACCCACTTGATCATGTCATTCACCAATTAGAAAACTTTATAGTATACTTTACAATACTACAATTCTGAACAAAAAAACTGTATTAAATCTAGCTCGTTTTCATATATGTAGTTAGCAAGCAAAACATGTCATCACTCTCTCATCAGTGTCACTCATCAGTCTTACTCTCTCACACGCTTTGTCCTAAAGCGACTGCTGTATGCTTAGTGGTTGGCCAGGGGGATGCAGGATTACACTTATTACTAAGCCATACTTACATGCTATTTCAGAGCGAATGTTCAAATTAGAATTGTAAACAATACTGTGAGTGCGTCACAGGTTGTCATTGTTCAAAAATGAACCAATCTGATTTTAAAACCAACTTTACCTCAGTAAAGCAGGCTAGGTGGAATAGCGCTATTAACTGATGTTTTGTTGTTAAACTAAATACAAATCTACATTATCGATGCTGTAAAAGGTCCTTATGAAACTGAATATAGTCAAAGCTTTGCGTGACTAAAATACTTTTAAAACTTAACATTACCTATCTAAATGAAATACTTCAGCCATTGTGTCATCCTTCCTCCAGCGTGCAAAAGTGATTTCACTATTCATTTAGGATTGTAAAAATTAGTTTTTAGCGCTGTCACTCGTCTCTACTATTGTTGACAGACAGTTTGGCCTACTTATTAGAATTATGGGAATCATAGGCCCGACAATATTTAATTGGATAAACCTTTTTTTTTGTTCTACACCTCACCCAGAATATAAAAAATACATATAAATACATTTAGATCCTCTATTTTAATTAATACTATTGGAATTTGTAGAGACTTTTAACCAGCACAACAAAAAAATGTATCTGAAGACAATCACGTACTGCACCTTTAATGTGTTTACTACCTCAAACAACTAACAGTGCATTTATCACAGTATCTAGTTAATTATCTGTGTTAACATTAGTTATTGGAAAAACAGTTGTTCTTTGCTAGTTTCTGTTAACTCACAGTGCATTTACTAATGTTAATAATGCATTAGTAAAGATTGAACTAATATTAAAACATTCTGCTGTACAAGTATTGTTTATTCTTAGATCACGTTGATAAATACAATAACTAATGTAACCTTATTGTTTTGTAATATTGTTTGCTTTAAATAATAATGTCCACATAATGCATTGCATTATTATTGTACTTTAATTCCTGGTTCTCAGACAATGCTTATACTTAACCTCAACTTAACCCCAACTGATTGAAAATAATAATGATTCAATATAACATCGTGTCTTTGTTGTCTCTCAGAAAAGCACATCATTAATGTTTTTTTCTGAGGCAAAAAAAACTGTTATAGATATAATTAAAGTTAATTAAGCATCAGGATTGAAAATGACCTAATCCTGGTTTAGTCTAACCCCGATATTTTGAAACCCTAAATGATTAAAAGTGTTTTGGTGACAAACGGGTAAAATATGGGTGATTGAATTGGCAAACTATAAAGATTTTAAATTAAAATGAATTTGCATTTGATCCTTAAATAGGGTCTTTTAATATTAATTTTCTTTTTCAGTCAGCTATATATATATATATATATGGCTGTATATCGGCACTGGTTGGAGGAGTGCGTTGTGTGCGCCTTAGTGCCCCCACCAGTGCCGATATACAGCCATATCGAACTGCTACGAGTGTGATATTGCGTTTATACAACAGTTTGACGGCAAAATTGTGTATATAAAAACAAAATCAAACATGGAGAGTCTCAAAAACCCTTTTGTATGAGGAACTACTTTCTTCCAGATTCAAATCATAAGCTGACAGTTAAACAGTTGAGCGTGCATCTTTTAAACTTTAGATCTGTAGTGTCTGCTTTTTGCTGGATGTATGTTCTGATACGAGTTCTGATATTGCAGAATATCGCACGGCTATCAGCCAGATTTGAGAACCAGACAGAACTGTTGTATATATATATATATATATATATATATATATATATATATATATATATATATATATATATATATATATATATATATATATATATATATATAGTTGAAAGTAGAATTACTTCTAATTTTTTTTCCCAAAGTATGTCTGACAATATTTTGTCTTCTGTAGAAAGTCTTATTTGTTTTATTATTTATTATTATGTTATTCATTTTTTAAGACATGTTAAGGTCAAAATCATTAAATCGTGTGTGTGTGTGTGTGTGTGTGTGTGTGTGTGCGTGCGTGCGTGCGTGCGTGCGTGTGTGTGTGTGTGTGTAATCATCTGACCTGTTTATTTCCAAGTAAAATTGCCCGTAAACGTCACACTCCCTATAGTTAAAAATATATTATATGTCCTCAACCACACCAGAATTGCACTGACACTGCCAAGTGTACATTCATAGTTTATAAATGATATAACATGAAATATTACAATAGATATAGATATGTTTTGAGCCCATTAGTTAATCTCCTGCCACATTCCCTAAACCCTGTTTTTGTGAAAAATCCCAAACACGTCCTTCTTTCCAATGCAGGCGTGTAAACTGATCTGTTCCCCTTCCACTTGATTCTCCATAGCTCAGCAGATCTACATTAAGCCAGCCCACCCTGTCTGCTGCATGGCTATATATACAAGCCTCACCCAGAAAACGAAATGGCCACATCCTCTGCCAAATTCCCCTTCTGTTCTCCAGCCAGGAACCATTTAGGCTCAGTCACTCAGTGAATGCTTGTAGCGTTCAGAGCATTAGTGCTGCAGAGACACTTGGAGTTCTGCCAGCAGCACAGAGTGAACTGCTGTTTACATACAGAGACAAACACACAAACTGAAGATGATTTATTAGTTTATTTGTACTGAAAAAATGTGCTTTTTTTGTGAAGAAAATGTAGTTTGATACTAAGGACTGCTAGTTAATGTTTGGAGCTTGATGTTTATGAAAGCTGCTTTTTTACAGAAGCTCAAAGTTTTGATTTAAAATGTAGTAAAATAGTTATACATTTAAAATAATGTTTTCTAGTATACTGTATGTTAAAATGTAATTTATTCCTGTGATTCAAATCCCATTTTTGGCATTATTACTCACATGATCCTTCAGAAATCATTCTAATATGATGATTTAATGCTCAAGAAACTTGTCTGATCAATGCTGCCATTGCAATGCATCGTATTTGAAAACTTAACATTTTTTAATGAATAGAAAATGCTAAAGAAATATGCCATAACAACACACTTTTTTATTATCACTTCTGATTGATTAAATATGTCTTTGCTGAATAAAAGTCTTAAATTCTAAAATAAAAATCTGACTGACCAGAAACTTATAAACAGTAGTGTCTATATTTATAAATATTATATATATATGTGTGTGTGTATATATGTATATATATGTGTGTGTGTGTATATATATATGTATATATTATATATGATATATATATAATATATATAAATATTATGCTAAAAAAAAGGTAGGGGCTAGAAAAATGTACTGGACCAACATGTACTGGAACATCAGTCTTTAAAAAAACATCTGCAATAATATATAAGCCAGCTGGAAAACTTACAGTAAGACTAAAACAAAAAGGAATAGATAGATGAGGAAACAGAGCAGGGTCTCCACATTAAGCTACATTGTATGGACAAAAAACCCAATATTAACCCATATTAACCAAAAAACACATAATTAAAGCATAATAAGAAGGTGTCTGTAGATTTTTGAGCCCATCATTCAGTTTGTCTATTTATTTACTTATGTATATATTCAGTTTTCATCATTTTAGTAATTATATTGAATACTATTTAAACTGTAAATAAAAATTAAGCAGTCATTATTTTTCATTTTGTTTTTAAGTTTTCAGCTCCAATACTCTCAAAAATCCTTCCGCATAAATCCACAGATTTTTACAAAATTTGGAGCGGAAAAGAAGTTTAAAAAATTTGCAGATTGTAAGGAGGATCATGATTAAGATATCTGATTATGAGGATGTATGTAAACATGTTTAAAAGTGCACTAAACAATATTTGAAAATGCTTTGACTACAGTGTCATAAAATGCATTTGCAGCCAAAAAGCATGTCTGTTCCACATTGTATGGCAGAATTCATTTTTTAACATAGTGTTAATAATGACATATTGACTTTTACCAACACACAACTAAAATTTCTTAGCAGCCATGTCTAAAATTAGAAAGTTATTAACCGTACATACAGCCAATTCCAGACATATGTTTATGTCATCTCAGTATTACAAGTATTGACAAGATAATTTCAAGTTTCTGATTGGGAAAAACTGTTTTTTTTCCTCATTATTAATTGCAAAACCTCAAATCCTTATCATGACCCTCACAGAAAAGTCACATGAGTTTCACATGTGAAACTCATGTGAAATTTCTGTAAGGGAGCTAAAAAGAACTGAAAGTGGTGAACATAAACTTTTATGCCAGGTCGTCTTTATCTATTCAGTGGTCTTGTTTCACTTCAATTGCTTTCAGCTTTACTCTACTTCTTACTACAACCCAGGCTCATTCTGATTATGTACCCTTATATACATTTCTGAGGAGAGGAAAATACATTCCAGAAGCTATGTTTTTTTTTTGCAGTTTTTGTTTTTGCTAATCCACCAGAGGCTGCTGTTTATGCTTTTTCAGATCTCAAATTTCTCTTTTGAGTGCCATTTGCGCCTGCTGTTCTCTTATACATCCACCAGAGGCCGCTGTTGACTGACTGACTTACTGCCTGACCAACTGGTCGAAACCCCACACCCACTCCTTTCCCTAAACCCAAGCAATAGTGTTTTCAAAAGGACCAATTGACCCGCCTACCCTCTTCCGTAAACCCAATCGACAGTGTTTTTAAAACCCCCTCACCCTGTTGTTTACTTGTTTATTAGATATTTTAGCTTTTGTTTTTGTTTTACCCGTATTCTGGAACCGTTCTTCATCAGACTCGAGCCCTGTTGTCATCACAGCATCATACCACCCCGTAGCGTTTGTTTTAAAGATCCAATGTAGCCATACGTAGTTCGGGTTGCATAATTCACGATCTCCAGAAATGTGAATAGGGCTGCGTTTTCAGAATGAGCCTGTGTTATCTTACTACCATGAAAAATTTGGAAACTTTAGCTCATCTATGAACATGATTTCTGCTGGAGTCTTATAGGATGTAATGAAGACACTCAATCATGACGTCATCAGACTGTGATGATTAGGGTTATGTCGAGTTCAGACTGCATGATTTTCAAAGTAGTCGTGTCACAGATGTTTTCACACTGCATGACTATCTGGGCTAGCGTTTTGTCGCTGCTTTGTTTACACTGCAAGATAGATCGGCGACTGGTGCTTTCATATTGCATGATTTAACAATAGGAAGAATCGCCGACAACATCAATCTACGCCTCACAGCCAAAAAGTATATATCGTAGTATATCTTTTGTTATTAACTACATAACGAGAAAGAAGCCTTTAATGGGGTAGAAAATGAACATATTTGCTCACATGGGTTTGAAGGGAAATAGCAATTTCTCCTTAACATTCTTTTTTAACTTTCTGTATGAAATGTCAAACAGACACAGGTGCTCCTGTCAAACATCCACTAGTTTTTACTCCATTTCTTAGGTCCAAATAAACGGTAAATGAATGCTTTTAACTTCTCCCTCAACCACCCACTGGCCTGCAGGTACACACACACACACACACACACACACACACACACACAAGTGAATGCTGCTCTCTCGTTGGCTGTAGGTGATCGCCGATGTTATTTTCAGTCAAAATTTATTTCACACGGCATGGTTTGAATCGCCGACAGCTCCAGATATTTAGCACGGCAAATATCTCACAGGCATCGGCAACACATCTGCGATTCTCTCAGGACTGCGTCCTTGATAGTTTATACTGTGTGATTGTCATTAGTGCAAGAGCACCGATTTGCCTGATTTCAGGCATTTGTCTGCGATTTCTCAAAACCTGTTGGCGAAATCTAAAATTGTGCAGTCTGAACTCGGCATTAGGGTTAGTGAATCCACTCCCTCTAGCCATGAAACTTAGTTACATACTGTCCCTTTACATGTATAGGTCACCCAAAAAAATGACGATTTACACTTTGATTACATACATATAACTTGTTCCAAATGTATTTGTTTTATCCTTCTGAACACAAACATCTTTTGAAGGATGTTGGTATCTAAAAAGTCGATCTCATTTTATTAATGAAATAATTATAGTACACTGTAAAAAAAAATCTGTAATTTTAAATAAACGAAGAAAAAAAATAACAGCAGTTAAATTACAGAAATTCACTTTAAAATAACAGAGGTTGAATAACAGAAATTTACTAGAAATTTAAACTTAAGGAAATTTCTGTAATTTAATGTGTTTTTTCAGTAAATTTCTATAATTTAACAGACATAAACTGAAATAAACAAAAATAAACTGTAAAATTACAGATTTTTTTACAGTGTAGCAAAAAATACTATTAGGGACAAGCAATGGTTTGGTTTGTTGTTTAAAATATCTTCTTTTGAGTTCATTACAAGAAACTCCTACAGGTTTTGCACAAGCAATGGTTGTATAAACAGAGTTTTGGGTGAATTGTCCCTTTAACAGCCATTGTTTTCTAATGTGTCCTCTAGTTTTGGCAGTTTGGGGACTGGGTGGATGTGGTGATTGATGACCGGCTGCCTGTCAGAGACGGAAAGCTGCTTTTCGTCCACTCAGCTGAGGGATCAGAGTTCTGGAGCGCCCTGGTGGAGAAGGCTTATGCAAAGTAAGAAAGCTTCAATCAGACCATTTCTCAGATAGTCTTTAGACCTGGGGCCTCGTTTTATAAAGCCATGCATATGAATCATCCTTAATTTAATCTAAGATTTCCTTTCTGAAATGTGTGTATGTGATTTAGAGCGACTGATTTAGATGAAATATGTATGCCTCTCTTCCAGCTGAGATATCGCTGAATTGCAAATGATTCTGAAATTGTGTTTTAGATGTCCGCCTCACAAATGCCCCAGTTAATCTCTTTAGCATATAAAAGAACAGCAGGCAACATGCAAATCCTTTACATGAGAGGTCCAAATACTCCAAATCTACCACTAGGAAAAGGGTATGCGCCTTCTCAGCACATCAAAGATTATTTTTATGAATCTGTATCTGGATTTTATTGTAGCCACGGTTTTATAAACGAGGCCCCGGGATCTTGTTTGGTTGTGTAATATGTGTATTGTTCTGAACATGGCAGGTTGAATGGCTGCTATGAGGCTTTATCCGGAGGCAGCACATCTGAAGGCTTTGAGGACTTCACCGGTGGAGTGACTGAGATGTATGAGCTGAAAAACGCTCCACCAAACCTTTTCAGCATCATCACACGAGCTGTGGAGAGAGGCTCCCTCATGGGCTGCTCTATAGATGTTAGTGTTGAAGAGCAACTTATCCATTCGTCATTCAAAACACTTTGACCTAAAAAGATCTGTAATATAATACTGTATAATGATATAATATAATATAATATAATATAATATAATATAATATAATATAATATAATATAATATAATATAATATAGGCGATGCAGTGGCGCAGTAGGTAGTGCTGTCGCCTCACAGTAAGAAGGTCACTGGTTCGAGACTCGGCTAGGTCAGTTGGTGTTTATGTGTGGAGTTTGCATGTTCTCCTTGTGTTCGTGTGAGTTTCCTCCGGTTTCCCCCACAGTCCAAAGACATGCCGTACAGGTGAATTGGGTGGGCTAAATTGTTTGTCGTGAATAAGTGTGTATGGGCTATTCGGGTCCTAATTAATTGGTTCAGGTGTGTTTGATCAGGGTTGGAGCTGAACTTTGCAGGAAGGTAGATCTCCAGGAACAGGGTCGAGCACCACTGGTCTAGTCCTTAAGGAGCAAAGATGGGCTGATCGCTACTTTGCCAACAAATATTATTTGTGTTTTCCCTACTGTCCCATCATATTTGGATTTGGGGTTGTATAAAGAATCAAAAAAGTATAAAGTATCAATTCCAGAACTCAGAAACAGGATTGATTCTGGCAATCCTAATTTTGGAAATTAGCAACCCTATAACGGAGGCTCTGGCAACTCACTCACTGAGTTACTATGGTTACTAACTAATGCTTGAGGGTAGAGCATTAATTTAGAACAATGTCAAAACTGACAACAACTACAGGTCCATTAAATGAATCACACCATTCAGCTAATATAATATAATATAATATAATATAATATAACCTAATATAATATAATATAATATAATATAATATAACATAATATAACATAATATAACATAATATAATATAATCGAGTAATTTGAATGAGGCAACACGGTGGTGCAGCGGGTAGCACAATTGCCTCACAGCAAGTAGGTCACTTGTTCGAGCCCCGGCTGGGTCAGTTTGCAGTTTGCATGTTCTCCCTGTGTTTGCGTGTGTTTCCTTTGGGTGCTCTTGTTTCCCCTACAGTCCAAACACATGCGGGTGAATCCTAGCCGGAAAGAAAATGAATGAATGAATGAATTTTGAATGACTTTCACTGGAGAGTCAATGGACGCTATAATGCTATTAAATAGCATAATAAAAGCATCTATAAGCATGCTAACCTTTATATTACCTTTGTGGGACTATTGTTCAATATTCAAACCCATATTGTATTGACTTTCAGATTACAAGTTTTTTTGACATGGAGGCCATCACCTTTAAAAAACTAGTGAAAGGCCATGCCTACTCCATTACCGGAGTGGACGAGGTGAGTACTGGATTTTGATTGACAACAATCTCAGCCAATTACACAACAGCTGATCACTGGCAGATGTAAATGTGTGGGCCAGGTGGAGTACAGACGAAGCCAGACCAAGCTGCTGCGCATCAGAAACCCTTGGGGAGAGGTGGAGTGGACGGGACCCTGGAGTGATGAGTGAGAATCATGTGAAGATGAAAAATTATTCATATTGTCATGTTGAATAGCTTTGTTGTATGATTTCACCACGTGTCAATTCAGGTCAAAGGAATGGCGTGAAATCGATGCATCTGTGAGGTCTCGTCTGCACAACTCTCAAGAAGATGGAGAATTCTGGTGGGTGTCTCATGTAGTTTTCTTTTATATCAATATAATGTGTGGTGTACTTGCATATTAGTCAGATAACACGTGGATTTTTGTTTACCTTCATGTCATTTCGTCTTCAGAAAACATTTATTTCAAAACAATTATTATATTATAATATACTGTAATGTAATGTAATATGTCCAGCTTGTCTAATCAAAACAGCAAAGAACACAAATGAAGATTTAAATCGATTTAATTTTGTCACATATCAGCAAATCTAAACAAGCTCAACCATACTTGATGCGCAAGAACAATTTCATTGGTTCTTGGTGAAGCTCAAATGTGTCACATAACTGGATAGAATCAACCTGATTGGTTCTCGAGCTTAAAGCAAGCATATATAAGCTTCTGTTTTTTTTTTCATTTTGCATTTTTTTTCTATGCATTAATGTTTATTTGCAAATAAAGGCTCAAATGACAGTTTCCGATCTTTTCATGAACATCTTGAATGTCATAGTTTTAGGTGAACATGCAGAAATCTTTCAGATTTTATTATAAATATCTTCATTTAGGTTCTGAAGACGAACAGATTTCTTTGGAATGATATGAGGTGAGGTGATGCAGTGGCGCAGTAGGTAGTGCTGTCGCCTCACAGCAAGAAGGTTGCTGGTTTGAGCCTCGGCTAGGTCAGTTGGCGTTTCTGTGTGGAGTTTGCATGTTCTCCCTCCGTTTGTGTAGGTTTCCTCCGGGTGCTCCGGTTTCCCCCACAGTCCAAAGACATGCGGTACACGTGAATTGGGTAGGTTAAATTGTCCTTAGTGAGTGTGAATGAGTGTGTATGGTTGTTTCCCAGAGATGGGTTGCGGCTGGTAGGGCACCCGCTGCGTAAAAAAAAAAAAAACGTGCTGGATAAGTTGGCGGTTCATTCTGCTGTGGTGACCCCGGATTAATAAAGGGACTAAGCTGAAAAGAATATGAATGAATAAATGAACATGAGTTGAGTAAATGACAAAACTGACATTTTTTTAGGGATTTTTAAAAATGAAAGCTCTAAATACAACTTGAGCTCAGCAGTTAAAGTTAGAGTATGTGTCACATTATTCTAAAAATAACACACTTAAAATTATACTTCACCCATAAATGTAGACTTTGATACCATTTTCACACCCTCATGTAATCATGTTTCAAGAGGTCACACTGATGATTGATTATAAAGCTTGTTTGGCATGCTGTCCCGGGAGAGAGCCCTGAGCTCAAAAGATCCTCGAGCCCGGGTCTCCCTCTCGTTTGCAGGGCAATCGGATCTCAGGAGCTCCTCTGCTGTTTGAAGCTAGTGAGCAATTAATGATTGTTATAAAAATACTACTTACTTGGAGCATGTATATGGTGCCGATTTGGATTAGTCAATTAACTTAAGTTGCATGTTTTTTGATGGTGGGAGGAAACCTGGGGACCCGGGGGAAACCCATGCGAGCACATGGAGTATATGTGAACTCCGCACAGAAACATTGACTGGCTTGGTAAGGACTAGAACCAGTGGCATTCTTGCTGTGAGGTAACAGTGCTAACTACTGGGCCACCAAGCCATCCATCTAGGAAAGGAGGAGGAGTAGAAGATGACTATATGGAACTTAAGTTATTTATGGAGACTTAGGATTAGTCTGATTGGTAAATCATATGATAGCTAATGCGGGACCAGCTGTGGTCAATCATAAGCACGTGAACCTCTCAAAATTTAATTCATTTAGTCATTTAAGTATATGCAGGGACAAAATGATTTAAGTTTAACCTGAGAAAACTTGTATGTTAATTTTGGTGCAAGTAAAATAAATAATATAAAAAAATACATGTAAAACGATATTTATTGTAAATGTATCAGTTTAAATCCTTTATGACTTTCTGTCCATATAATGTGATGGAAATGTTAAATATTGATGATTGAAAATTATATATTGATATCATAAATTGATTAAGGTTTTGCTAAAGTAAAGAACAAATGCATTATAATCATTGGGCTATTACATTATAGTAATGTCTAATCTACTGGTTGTTAAGAAGCTGTAGAGAAATTCATTATACATTATAACATTGGCGGCGCGGTGGCGTAGTGAGTATTGCTGTCTCCTCACAGCAAGAAGGTAGTCGATTCAAGCCTCAGCTGGGTCAGTTTGCATTTCTGTGTGGAGTTTGCATGTTCTCCCCATGTTCGTGTTTTTTTTTTTATTCGGGTGCTCTAGTTTCCTCCACAGTCCAAACACGTGCCATAGGTGAATTGAATAAGCTAAATTGGCCATAGTGTATGTGTGTGAATGAGTATATGGGTGTTTCCTAGTGATGGGTTGCAGCTGAAAGAGCATCCACTGTGTAAAACATATGCTGGATAAGTTGGCGGTTTATTCCGCCAACTAATAAAGGCACAAATGAATGAATAAACATAACAGTGTCTTTAAAAATGCCTGTGAGCCCATCATTGGGATCCTTTTTTTTTACAGAGGCTGTGTGTGTTATCTGATTTAAAACAATTAAAAGACAAACTTTGTCTGACTTTATTCAGTTTCAGTATGTAAGAAAATGATTTGCCATTACAATAATAAAATTCAATGTTGTTAAAAACATTACACCCTCCTAAAACTTTTAGCAATCGACTAGCTTTAAATAAGACTATTTTTTACACACCCCCAGGATGGCGTTCAGTGACTTCAAGCGAGAGTTCAGCAGACTGGAGATCTGTAACCTGACAGCGGATGCGCTCCAGAGCCGAGAGGTGAAAAAGTGGAACTCATCGCTGTATCCTGGTGAATGGAGAAGAGGATCCACTGCTGGCGGATGCAGGAATTATCCAGGTACCTTCTCCACCAGAGTCTCTTTATTGCTTTTAGGCTGAGACATCGCTCTTGAATTAAACACTGATTCTCTCAACACAGCAACATTTTGGATCAATCCCCAGTTTAAAATAGTGCTGAAGGAACCAGATACTGACAATCAAGAAGGCTGCACTTTTCTAGTGGCTCTGATGCAGAAGAATCGCAGACAGTTACGGAGGGAGGGCAAAGACATGGAGACCATTGGATTTGCCATTTATGAGGTAGAAAACCTGATATTTTATTGGGCCGGGTAATAAGTGCAATCACAATTAAGTAGATGTTAGATGTTTTAGGATGTAGCTATCAGTTCTTCTTTTGTAAATACAGTGCTCAGTATAAATGAGTTGAATATTTTTACTCATTTCTCAGTGAACATCGTTAATATATTTTGCTAGATTTCAACAAAACAGATTTATTAAATAGATATATTTATTACAATTATATTTTAGAATATATTAATATAATCTTTAGAAACAGAAATATAATACATTTAAATTCAAGAAAAATATTGTAAAATATAAATATCAACTACAAAATAAAAAATACAAAAAATAAATGTTTTGATTCTTATGTTTTCCTCTTTTTAAAAAAAAATTGTATTGAATTATTGAATTTTTTTTCTAACAAATAAATTTGAGTGTTCTTATTTTTGGACAGTTATTGTAAGTTATTTATTTAGATTAGTTGCATATTTGGCTGATCTAATGTATATGCACAAATTTAATATTGTAGAGCATCTAAAAAGAGAGATTTGTGAGGGGTGTACTCGTATATGATGAGGACCATATTTTGTATTGTAGAGGACAATTTCACACAAAGCCCATTCACACAAAGCATGACAAGTTCGACTGAAGATTTTCGGAATCTTGTAATAGTGTTTCTTTTAAGCCATTAAATTGACTAATCGCATGTTCATAATATTCATCTAACTATTTAAGTACATGCAGGGACAAAACAAAATCTTTAAGCTGAGAAAAAAACAGGCCTACTGAAAAGTTGTATGTAAACAAATAATACTAAAATTGTATGTAAAACAAATATTAATTAATTAATTTATTGTAAAAGTATCTATTTTAATTTGTATTAAAAGCAGTTATTTTACCTTTATAATTTTTTAAAAGCCACCTACAGTAAGTACTTTGACTTGTACATCATAATTGCTTCTAATGTTTTTAAAATATTCCTTGAATTATACTTAAAGGGATAGTTCACAAATATTTCAGTTATGTTTATGATTACTCACCTCTGAAGAATATTGTGAAGAATGCTGAAAACCTGTAACCACTGACTTCCATAGTTTTTGGTTTCCCTTATGTGGAAGTCAACGGTTTTTAACAGGCTTTCGTTTTTCTTCTTTTGGGTTCAACAAACTTATAAAGGTTTAGAATCTGTTGAGGGTGAGAAAATAATGAATGCATTTTCATTTTGGGGTTTACTATCCCTTTAAATGTGATAGTCAAATATTTCCCAAGTGATGTTTAATGGAGCAAGGAAATTCTTAAAGTACTTACAATATTTTTTTATTTGGTTCTCTTAGTGACTGGAATAAGCATAGTTTTAAAAAATTTAAAACAATTTTAAGGTCAGTCAAGCCTTTAATTTTGGAAAATAACTAGAAAAAATATTATGTATTGTTATCGTAGTAAAGGCAAAAGAAGTTAGATATTGAAAATGTAATTTGATGATTGAATGTGTTAACAAAAATTAACACTTCATTTAACAGAACTTAAATAAATAAATGTCATAATAAATAAATTAATATATATTGATTCATTCATTTTCTTGTCGGCTTAGTCCCTTTATTCATCAGAGGTCGACACAGCGGAATGAACCGCAAATTATCCAGCATATGTTTTATGCAGCAGATGCCCTTCCAGCTGCAATTCAACACTGGGAAACACCTACACACTCTTGCATTCACACTTCACATTCATACTCTACGGCCAATTTAGCTTGTTCAATTCACCTATAGCGCATGTGTTTTGACTGTGGGGGAGCACCTGGAGGAAACACACAGGGAGACCATGCAAACTCCATACAGAAATGCCAATTGACCCAGCCAAGGCTCGAACCAGCAACCTTCTTGCTGAGAGGCGATTGTGCTACCCACTGCGCCACCGTGATGCTCATTAATATTTATTTATTTTATTTTTTACTATATTTTTATCATCCTTTGTGTGAATAGATATCTTGCTATTAATATATGTGTTATTCAGAAATGTTTAATTCAGTAAAGCAGGGGTGTCCAAACTACGGCCCGCGGGCCATCTGCGGCCCGCAATCAGTTTTGTGGCGGCCCGCGAGGCTTTTTATAAATATCAATAGAATCTGGCCCGCTATACAAAAAATGAACGTAATTCAATAAATAACCACCGGGTGTCGCTATTATACGCATTCAATTAAGCAGCAGTTCTTGTTATGATCTATCTATCTATCTATCTATCTATCTATCTATATACAGTATATATATATATATATATATATATATATATATATATATACACACACACACAGTTGAAGTCAGAATTATTAGCCCCTCTTTGATTTATTTCTTCTTTTTTAAACATTTCCCAAATGATGTTTAACAGAGCAAGGACATTTTCACGGTATGTCTGATAATATTTTTTCTTCTGGAGAAAGTCTTACTTGTTTTATTTTGGCTAGAATAAAAGCAGTTTTTAATTTTTTATGAACCATTTTAAGGTCAAAATTATTAGCCCCTTAAGTCTTCAGAAGAAACCATTGTTGCCTAATTAACTTGCCTAATTACCTTAATTTGACTAGTTAACTTAACTAACCTAGTAAAGTCTTTAATGTCACTTTAAGCTGTATAGAAGTGTCTTGAAAAATATCTAGTCAAATATTATTTACTGTCATCATGGCAAAGAGAAAATAAATCAGTAATTAGAAATGAGTTACTAAAACTATTATGTTTAGAAATGTGTGGAAAAAAATTCTTCTCTCCGTTAAACAGAAATTGGGGAAAAAATAAACTGGGGGGCTAATAATTTAGGGAGGCTAACAATTCTGACTTCAACTGTATATATATATATATATATATATATATATATATATATATATATATATATATATACACACACATCTATATATGTGTGCCTGTGTGATGTATGTAAAATTTGGCCCGCGACAACGTTTTTTTTTTTGCATCTGGCCCTCGGCCCAAAAAGTTTGGACACCCCTGCAGTAAAGTATGACAAAAAGCCACAGTTCTGCTAGGATTACATTAATGTACATTATAAACATAGGACATGTTGGTTGCTAAACAAGTGAATCCAATTATTTAAAAAACTGATAGATTAATAATGTTTTTAACCTTTTTTCTGAATCTTACAGGTCCCTAAAGAGGTATGAGATCATCAACTCATCATTATCATTTAAACCATTAGTTATCAGTCAGGTTGGTGCTTAGGCTGCACTTTGACCTCAGTTTAGACCGTAGCGCTGGTCAGCTGAGATGTGCAGTGATGTTTGTCCCCTCTCTGTCAGTATCTTGGTCGGGTTGGTGTGCATCTGAAGCGGGATTTTTTCCTCAAGCACACGTCCAGCGCTCGGTCAGAGCTCTTCATCAATCTTCGAGAAGTGAGCTCACGCTTCTCACTGCCAGCAGGAGAGTATATCATCGTCCCGTCCACTTTTGAGCCCCAGAAAGAAGGAGACTTTGTGCTCAGAGTGTTCTCGGAAAAGGCGACCGACTCGCAGTGAGTGACCATACACTAAGTCATGATTTATATTTCAGGGTTTTTACTTTTCAGACAGATAATATATAATAAAATATCATTTCAATATGGTTTTAAAGTAAATAAATGACGGTTTAAGTTTTACATTAGTTATTAGGTAACCTCTTAAGACCCTAGGTGTATTTTTACATGCATTTTTCTTATTTCTGTTTGCTATTTGGGCATATTGGAACCTAATTAGAATAAAAATATAAGTATCATCTTTTGATAAGATGTACTTTTAGAGAAAAATGATGTCCATATATGTGCACTTGTGGTCTGAATTTGCATGAAACACTGTTTCCTGACTGTTTTTAATGCATATATAACATATAATTATTTTTTTTTACATGTTTTGACTATCAGAGAGTAAAAAACAATTTTTTTCCCATTTTGGACAGTTGAAAATAGTGTTTGGGACATTTCATATGCTGCAAAACAGTTGCAGGATGACACTGTATGTCTGCAACAAAATTTCAAGAGTTCACACTTAGCCGATGATTGATTATAAAGCTTGTTTGGCATGCTGTCCTGGGAGAGAGCCCATAAGATCCTCGAGCTCGCGGTTCCCTCCTGTTTGCAAGGTGAGAGGGGAGTTTGAGCTTAGGTAGATCTCGAGAACTCCCCTGCTGTTGTAACTAATGTAGTAACTGATGAACAGATAGTGATTGCTCTTAAGAGATAACCATTTACCAGGAGCATGTCTATGGTGCCAATTTGAATTAGTCAATTAACTTTTACATGTTGTTTGACGGTGGGAGGAAACCGAGGAACCCGGGGGAAACCCACATGAGCACAGGGAGAACGTGTAAACTCCGCACAGAAACATCGGCTGGCTTGGTACGGACTAGAACCAGTGACGTTCTTGCTGTGAGGCAACAGTGCTAACCACTGGGCCACCGTGTCACCGATCTAGGAAAGGAGGAGGAGTAGGGGTGGAAGGGGGGATTCTTTAAAACGAAGATGGCTGTTATATGGAACTTAGGGTATTTATAGTGGCTTAAGCAGGTCGCACACCAGAAGCGCCGCTCGGCGGCGCGCCGCGCAGCGCCACGCATTTTAGAATTCTAAACATAGGTTTCTATCAGGATACACACACCGGCGCCGCAAGTCGGCGGCTGTCGGCGGCGCCCGGCGACGGCTCAGGACGCAGTTCATTTTTCAGCCGCGCCACAGAGCGCCATCTGATTAGTTTCATGTTAAATATCATTCGAATGTGCGCGTCTGGTGTGTGATACCTTAAACTGTCATGTACGCGCCGTGTCGCGGCGCCGAGCGGCGCTTCTGGTGTGCGACCTGCTTTAGTAATCATCTGATTGGTGAATCATAAATTGAATAATGCGGGGCTGGCTGCAAGCAATCATAAGCACATGATCCTCTCGAAATTAGTTGATATATAAACTTCACATAAAACATTTAAAGTGTTTTAATTAGACACTAAAGAGCTAAGATGTGCTGTCCACGTATGTGGACACTCAAGCCCTAGGAGGGTAAATATTTTTTATATGTTAACATATACATAAAACATAAGGAAAAGATCTCAGATACAAGCTGCTGAAATGAGTTTCCTTCGCAGGGTGGCAGGGCACACCTTTATAGATAGGGTGATGAGCTCTGTCACCTGGAAGGGCGCTCAAAGTAGAGCTGCTGCTCCTTCACATTGAGATAAGTCAGCTGAGTTGGCTCGGGTATCTGTTTCGGATGCCTCCTGGACACCTACCTAAGGAGGTGTTCCAGGCATGTCCCACTGGAAGGAGACCTCGGGAAGACCCAGGACACGCTGGAGGGACTATGTCTCTCGGCTGGCCTATGAATGCCTCTGGATCCCCCTGGAGGAGCTGGAGGAGGTGTCCGGGGAGAGGCCCCGGAAAATCAATTGAAAATAAATGAATGTTTGCATAAAATGGTAACACTTTACAATAAGGTTTTGTTAGTTAATATTAGATAATGTATTTACTAACATGATCAGTACAATTATTACAGTATTTATTTAGCTTAGTTAATCTTAGTTGATAGAAATAAAGTTGTTTATGTTAACTCAGTTCATTATAAACGTTAACAAGCATGAAGTTAATATTTTAATAACACATTAATAAATGCTGTACAAATATTGTTCATTCTTAGTTCATTTTAGTGAATATTTAAACTAACAATAACCAATGAAACCTTACTGTAAAGTGACGCATATAATATTATGTCAATAAGTAGCTTTAATGAGTTAACTAAGAATTATATATGTATGTATATATATATGTTTTTGTTTTTATTTGTCATTCTTATCATTTTTCAGTATTTAGAATGTTATTGCTTCTTATATATATATATATATATATATATATATATATATATATATATATATATATATTAAGGTTTATTTACAAGTGCATACTGTATATTCAAAAGTGATATATATATATATATATATATATATATATATATATATATATATATATATATATAATGTAGCGATAATGTATATTAATATATTTGTAATGTAGTTATTATATATTATTTTTATTGTGTTAACAAATCATAGTTTGGGATATTAAATATGGATCCTTTAGAATTTGACAGCATTTGTTTGAAAAGACAATGTGCTAATGTACATTTAGCTATTTATATAAATAAAAAATAATATATATATTCTTATAAAAAGAAACATTTTAAATGCATCACTGTTAAAAAGCAAACCAAGGAAAAAAGCAAGACACTTTTTTTTTCTTTGACTGCAGGGAGTTAGATGATGAAATTTCAGCAGACGTCCCGGAGGAGGTGAGTTTCCCTTGTATGCATTTGCAACAATACAGCACACAGATGGATCCTGGGAGGTTTTGAATTACGTTTTGTTTTTTTATGACAGCCCGTGCTACAGGAGAGCGACATCGACGAGGGCTTCAAGGCACTTTTTGCAAAGCTGGCAGGGCCGGTAAGACAGAAGACAGTGGAAAGTGTTTATCCGCTTATTAAGTCTGACGTCAAACGTCTCAATTTCTGTGTCCAAACACTTTTTAAAGCCAAAAGCGAACAAAAATGCAAATAATATAAGCTCCAAATGTGCTGTATTAAAATTGAAAATCATGATTATAATATTTATATCCATGTCTGAATCTCAAATGCTCAGAGAGTAGCTGTGTTTTCATCCACCTATTTTATGATCATTTTGGAATACTGATTTAAGAAAAATTCTTAATGGAAACGCCAAGTTGTACATACATTATGCGGACAACGGACCCTTTCATAAGCCTGCTGTGACGCGTTTAACATTCATCATAATCTTAAATCCTTAAAAGTTTTATTGTTCTGATTTTATTTAAAGCATATGAACATTTAAATGCATTTTGTATGTACTATGTCATCTTTGTGTCAAATTACAAAAGACGCATTACTGCTTATGGGAGGTGTTCTGATGCAGCGTCTAGAGTAAATTTGAGGTTATTCTCTCCTCTGGTTGCCGTTATCAGTCTCACGCTATTTCATCCTTTTTTCTAAAGGTCTTGATAACATCATTGTGGAGTTTTTCTTTTAATATTTCAGCAAATAGGATTGTGAAAAAATTGATTTGTTGTACTCTCTCATTTACTGCGCTCTAAGTTTACCCAACTATGATGTCTTTCGCTACTGAGAAACCTGGAAATGTAAAAAGAGTCTACTAAGTAGGATAAACTTTCATTCAATAAGAAAAAAAATGTACTACAATGGAGACACATTTACTAGTAAATAAATTCCAGTATGAGCATTAAAAAAAGTGATTTTGTTATAAGAGAACTTGTGACAGCGTTAATAGACAAACCAGTGGACTGACCACATTGCACGACATGTTGTTTTGGTCATTCTAAAAACATACAACATATTGTTATCTCCAGAACTACTACAAGGTAACGTAACTAATTTACTGTTTTTCAGTTTAGTGGATAATTCATGCAAATTCACACAAGTTCAGTCGTACAAAAATGTACATTTTTGAAAAGGAGGCATGGCACCAAACCCCATTCCTAAACCCAACCGTCATTGGAGCATGAGCAAAATGTACTAAAATACGAATGAGATCGTACAAATTCATACGAATTAGCCACTAAATAAAAAAAGTTATACAAATTTGTGTTAGATAGCTTAACCCAGGGATGGGCAAACTGGATCCTCGAGGGCCGGTGTCCCTGCAGAGTTTTGTTCCAACACTAGTCAAACACACCTGAACAAACTAATCAGTGTCTTCAAGATCACTTGAACTCTATAGGGAGGTCTGTTTGAATAGGGTTGGAGCTAAACTATGCAGGACACTGGCTCTCCAGGATCAAGTTTGCCCACACCTGGCTTAACCAGAACTCTTAAGTGGCAAGTCCTTTATTATATAAGAAAAAAAAGGCCCACGATGGCTTCTAATGGAACAAATTCCTTCTTTTTTTTTTTTTTTTTTTTTTTTTTTTTTACATTTGGCACCAGCTTATGACAAGTGTCTAATTTGTTCTCTTTCTCTCATTGGATAGAAACAGTGCTTTAATCACAAAAGTTTTATGCAATATTTCAGTTTTGTGCATAAATTGAATCCACTAATCTTTGCACAGACACACAGCTAGAGACTCATTTTTTTAGAACTAAATATATATGTATATACGCCTGTTGATTTTTCGCAATTCACATTGGGAGTCGAAGCTTGCACCCAGAAACCATACTTTAGTTTTCTGTTATGCCCAATATTGAATAGTTTGCTCTGATCTACAGGAAATGGAAATCAATGTGGCAAAACTTGAGATGATTCTGAATCGGGTTGTCAGCAAACGTTAGTATGCTTATGTCAAGCACATTTCACAATGATTTGTTTTTAAATTTTCTAAAACACAAATTCCCACATACATTTCCTAAAATAAGCCAGTTAAATAAGCCCATGACTGTTTTTTGTTTTACAGATAAAGATATAAAAACAGATGGATTTGGCAAAGAGACTTGCAGAGGCATGATAAATCTCATGGATGTATCCTTTAATCGAAAAAATTACGCTATTCTTCTACACTCATGAGTTTTGTAGGTTAAAATGTAAATAGTGTGAATTGGAGTCTCAGTTCATCCTTGACCTGCCATGAAGACTACTGGGACTGGAAAGCTGGGACTGACAGACTTCCATGTGCTCTGGGAGAAGTTCAAACGATATCTTGTCAGTGGCTACATTTTGTGTTTGCCTTAACATGTGTTAAATATATACGAACACTTTAAAGTTTTGGGGCATTTTGTTATTTTTAGAATAAAGCTAAAACTTTCATTTAGCAAAGGATTCAATGAATTTAATCAAAAGAGTGAATAAATACATTTTACATTTCAAATAAATGAATGATAAACACTTCATTATAAGAAACAATGCATGAGCACCAAATCAATATATCAAAATGATTTCTAAAGGATAATGTGGCACTGAAGGTGCAGGGTTTTTCTGTCTAAATGTGAAACTTTTTCAGGTAAAAGTTTAAGATTATAGGCTGTTGCTTGCTAGCGTGTATCTCATATGTTTGACATTTTAAATCAACGTACTGTATACCATGTTTCACAGATTAAGTTTTCTAGCATGTTAATCACATGGCTAACATGATTTAGCTTGTTGCCAGCGTGATTCTTACATTTTTAGCATGTTGCTGGAATGAATTACAAGTTTGTAAACATGACTTAACAACTGCTAACTGTCATAGCAATATGCTAATTTATGTTAGCTATGCCTAAACTTAAAATAACCCAGTGCTAACATGGTTAAACATTAACATATTTCAAACATGGTTAACATGAGTTAAAGAGATAGTTCTTCTACAACTAAAAATTCTGTCATCTTGAACTCTTCACTTGTCACAAACCTGCTTGACTTTCTTTCTTATGTTGAACACAAAAGAAAATCTTTAGCGAAATCATGTAAACCAGTAACTATTCACTTCTATAGTATTTATATTTCCTACTATTTGTGTCAATGGTTACTGGTTTTCGACTGTGGTCAACAGAAAAAATAAATTAAAGAGTTTTGGAACCAGAGTGAGAATAAATAGTGAGTAATTATTTATTTTTGGGTGAACTCTCCCATTAACTATATTTAATTGGCATTACCAACATGTTTCTAACGGTTGAATGGTGGTGTATATGTTAACTGTCTCTTTGTTTCAATAAATTACTAGGCAGTCTTTAGGGAGTTTGACATAGACAAGTCTGGCACAATGAGCTCTTATGAAATGCGTCTCGCTTTAGAATCAGCAGGTATCTTTCACTTAATGCAACACTATTTATTTATTTATTGTTACTGTGATAAATTATGTTTCTAAAGAATTGAATTCTTTTGTAAGGCTTTAAGTTGACCAACAACCTGTTCCAGCTGATAATCCTGCGCTATGCAAAGTCAGACCTCAATGTGGACTTTGATAACTTTGTGGCCTGTCTGATCCGCCTTGAGACTATGTTCAGTAAGTGTGCAAAGCAGAAAGCACAATCTTATTTATGAATACTTTTAAAGTAGATGTCAAACTGTAATGTCTTATTTATTCCACCAGAAACGTTTAAAACATTGGACGCTGATGAAGATGGACTTGTATCCTTCAGCTTTGCCCAGGTTGGTCTTTAATGCTGACAACGAAACTTTCAAATAGCAAATGCTTGCCTTGGCACATTTTATTAGCCTTTTGTTTTCTTCTCTTTCGGCAGTGGATCACCCTCACTATGTTCACATAGATGGATGTTCCTATTCATCAGTGCTTTTACTGTCTGATTTCCCTTCTTGACTACATGCCTTTAATTACTTTAGTAGTTTTTATGAAGTGGATTTCTGATATGGCATGCTTTTCATTCAATATTACTGGAAAGGAAAGCAAATATCAAGATGCAATAAGCATTATAGCCTGTAAAAGAAATGAACTTGATTTTTTGTTTACACTTATTCAAAAAAAAAAAAAAAAGATGCATTACATTGATTGAAAATGAAAGTCTAGACATTGCTAATGTTATAAAAGATTTCGGTTTTAAATAATTTATTTTTTACTAAAATAATCCTGAAAAAATGGTGTGTACATAAAAGTTTACATCCATGTAAGCGGTATCTGTGCAAAACTGACAGTATTTGAGCCAATAAACATTTGAAGTCATAAACTGTGAAATAGATCAACCTTTGTTTAAGCTCCACCAATTTTGGTGGTTGATCATAACCAAGTGTGCCTCACACAACCTAAAAAATGAAGCCAAAGCATTTTAGTCGCCCCCTGGTGGCTGGCTGTAATATAGGCCTCAAACTGCCTTCTCTATGTAAATGAATGGGATTTGAGACAAACTTAAAGCAGTACTAAGCTACAATTGCCAAACGATGTTGATATTTGAAAGAATCAAACAAGCATGTCCATAATCCAACATGACCCCACCCCTTTTTCTGCTGCTGTTGTCACTAGGTACGCCCCTTACTACGGATTGGCTGCTCAACAATATAGTCACATACATTTTTCATATACTGCTAGAGTCACTTTAAAGAAACAGACTTGGTAAAGTCTCAGTTGTCCTGTTATTATAATCATGTGACTTCCATAATTCTATATTTATGGTCATCTCTCTGTTGTAATTGTTTTAACAATGTGAAAGCTGAGTTATGTGATTCATAAAGCTAAAATTAAAATATGACTTGAGATTCCAAAAGCATTTATTTGCATGATGAAGCCTAATATAATGCATATAGAACGGCCTAAAATTCAAGTTTAATAACAAATATATTGCTGTATGGAGTTTTGTGATATTGAATATACACAACAGTTCAAAAAATAAAAGGGTTAATAGTTGCATTTTAGGAGTTTTAGTTTTCTCAGAGCAGTTTTTCTTACCATTTATAAACTGCTACATTTATTAAAGTTTTTTTTTTTTTACATTTATTTTTTATTATGATATAATTTATTATTTTTAGACATACAAAATGATTTATAAACAAACAACACTATTTAAACCACTGTGGTGTTTCTAATTATATTGCAATAATTGATAAATAAAAATAATACTATGTTGAGATGCCTTTCAGATTTGTTTACCCTTCAAGTGCATTAAAAAAGTATTCTAATCTTTTTCTTGCTGTGCTGCCTTGAAAGTCTTCTAATATTACCTCCATGGAGATTGCTCATGCAATAAATGATTCAATAAAGCCTTGTGACTAAATTAAAAAGTCTGAGATCACTTACTTACAAATATACATCGCTACTCATAATTAAAAATTGAACATCTCTAACATCCAAACTATATGACTTGCAGAGCATTTAGCCTTTCAGCTGTCAATCAAATCCTCCAGTCACTAGCCATCACGAGATACAGAGGTGTTACCTTTGAAGACAAGCCTCCCTCCATCCTGATCTAAACTACAGGAAGCACCGGCTCTATGGCCAGCACAAGCTTCACTTCACTCCTGGGATGAAAAGCTCTCCGTTCAGCCAGGCAGCTGTGTGGAGAAGCCTTGCTGCTGACCGCTGTTAGGAGAACAGCGAGAGTTGAAGACGCCTGTGAAGCTCAGTTTGACACGTCCCGACTCTCAGTTCAGTGCAAGTCCTTCACTCACGGGCATATTGATGTGGGCGGTGAGGAGAGGGGCACTCTTTCCTTCCCTCAGCACAAACACCTGAAATCAGAAGCAAATGTTCAATATTAGATGTCATTTCATGTAGAAAGCTTTGTGTACATTATTCACCAATAGGTATAAGATTCTGATGGTATAGTTAAAAGTGTCATGGTTTCATAATACTACTGAACACAATTAAACACTATAATGCACTGTTTAGGGTCCATAACATGCTTGGATGTTGGTGCATAAGCGATTTGTTTTTCAAATATTTGCTGAATTGTGGGCTGACAGTAGCTTTTAATGTGGATGGTCCTTTGCTTCTGAAGATACTGTTGCCCTAAATAAATAAATAATATAGTCTTTGACAAGTAAAATTAAGTTCGTTTCATCCATTTATCCATCATTTATAAGTTTTTGGTTTGGGAGACTAAAATTTTACATAATATTATAATATAATATACAGTTGAAGTCAGAATTATTTAACCCCCTGAATTATTAGCCTCCCCTGTTTATATTTTTTCCCCAATTTCTGTTTAATGGAGAGCAGATTTTTTTAACACATTTCTAAACATAATAGTTTTAATAACTCATTTCTAATAACTAATTTATTTTATCTTTGCCATGATGACATAACATAATATTTTACCTGATATTGTTCAAGACACTTCTATACAGCTAAAAATGACATTTAAAGGCTTAACTAGATTAATTACGTTAACTAGGCAGGATAGGGTAAATAGACAAGTTATTGTATAACGATGGTTTGTTCTGTCGACTATCAAAAACAAATATAGCTTATGGGGGCTAATACATTTTACCTTAAAATAGGTTTTTAAAAAATGAATACCTGCTTTTATTCTACCTGAAATAAAACAAATAAGACTTTCTCTAGAAGAAAAAATATTATCAGACATACTGTGAAAATTTCCATGCTCTGTTAAACATCATTTGGGAAATATTTAAAAATCCAAAGGGGGTTTAATAATTCTGATTTCAACTGTAATATAATCATTTTTCCATTGAATACTCATGTGTTCATTATTTGCCTGTACATATAATAGATCTAGGCCTATATTTTCAAAAAAACAATTTTATTTGGTTATCCTAATGCATTAATTTTCTAATGCATTCAATCTTAAACACACTGTAGTAAAATACAAAGTTCTCAAACACTGCAACATATGCACATCAACCATTTAATGAAAGGAACTGCATTCATACTCTGGGCTCATGCTTGACTGTACATACAAATGGCCTATATTTTTATATATAATAATATAACTTAATATAATGTAAACAGGAAGTGTTTGTAGAAAAACTGTTTTGCGAGGGAATGTAAAATCTTTACAGGGGAATACAACATCTTTGTGAGCGAACGCAAATCTTTGTGAGTTAACGCAAACATCTTTGCAAGGGAATACAAAACTTTCCAAGGTAATGCAAAAACTTTTTTTCTCCCACCCAGTTTTTCCAAACCATCACTTCACTTTCATGCCAACTTCACATACTGGATCAATGGACTACAAACTTAAACTGCAGAGTTAATCAAGTGATCTGTAATGGGGATAGAACAGACATTTCAGAATGCTTGCGCCATTGTAGATGCTTGGTGTGATAAACTCCTGACACTCAAGTTCATCTAGCCACATAACGTAAATTACGCTGATGCAATTTTGCATACTTCTGTAATTTAATGTCATTTCATCAATGGGATTAGAATAGACATTTCTTGTTGTCTGCACCACCGTACATGCTCAAAGTGATGAACTCCTGACTCTTAAAATCATCTATCTGTGAAACAAATGTTGATGATGCAGTTTGGCATACTTCAGTAATTCATTTGTTTCAAAATTATTTTATGTTTATGAACCCTTAATAAGACACTCACTGGAAAGCATTCCTGGAGGTTATTATAAGACAATATTGTGTACATATTTTTATGACTATAAACTAGTGATGTGACCTTGTGCAGCGAGGCTTCGGAGCATGTATCTTGCAGTGAAGCAGTGTACCAAAGCTTAATTCGTTTTGCCATAATCACATGATCAGTGACGTCCGAAGCTTATACCCACGTGACTGTTGAATTTTGATTCAAAGGTTTAAACACCCATGTGGGTTAGTAAAGTTTACAATATAGAAAGAGATTAGGCATCAAATACATACATTTCTACTGTTTCAAACCACTGCACAGGTCCCACACACCAGTAATTCAACTAAAATAATACTATAGTAATTTACAGTAAAAAGCTTTTGAGCCAAACTTAAAGTGTATTAGAGTATTATTTACACCTATTTTCAAAGAAGGCCACTGCATATTGTAGTATAGTGTGTAAAAGAGGCCAGCTGACAAATACGGCACATAAAGTCTCACTCCCATAGCCTTCTTGGAGCATTCGCCTCCCATGCAGGAATCACCAGTTTGATCCCCGCTCAGAACAAGAGGGTAGGACAGGTTGGAATACGATAAACATTAATACTTTTGAATACCTTGCATTTTACTACAATCATCAGTGCTGTAATGTAACATACCTTATATGTAAAAAAAACTACAGTTATTGAGTATTTTTTTTAATATTACTACTGTTGTATTACTACATGAATGAGTTGGTCAGTTAAGAAAGCTTCATTTCAACATCACTACTTTTTGTGATATATTGTGACCAGTGTTAATGAAGTTGATATGTATGCCTGATAGAAGGTTCATGACAAGGTTTAAGACGTAAACACTCATAGTAAAAATATTTTTAATTTCTATAATGCGAATCTCTTACGATCCATTCAGACGATACAAACCCAGCATCAATGTTCTGAAGAAAGAAAAAAAAGTCTCACTTTGATAATGTCAGAGACGCCTTTGTCGCTTAAGCACTCCACAAAAGTGTCAATAGGGTAATTTAGCCCTGGAACCAGCAGGGGGATCTACAAACACACAACAACTCACGATTATCAGCAAAAGTCTTCAATAACTAGACATTAAAAACATCTGCTCATATCACTGTGAAAGTTTTAGGGTGAGGTCACCTTAAAGAAAGCCGTTCTCATGCTGTACAAACTTTCATCATACAGAAAACTGATGGCTAGGTTCATAACAGGACGGGACGCAGCAGTGTTCTGGATATTCAGAGTGAGCTTGAAAGATGGACCCAGCCCTTGAACCTTTGCAGAAATGGAAAGCAGAAGTGGAGATCAGTATCACTCATCCGGTGTCATCTTGTTCTGAATTGCTCAACTCACCACAGCGTTCATCTTGAGTGGCTCAGTCAGGCTGGCGGACATTGGTGTGAGGCTGGACTCCAGGGCTTTGACATAGGCCCGTGCTGCAGCTAAACGCAGCCTGCTCAGGTCCATCTGAAATGCCCGGTGCATGGCTGTGAAGACAGAGCAACATGAGAAAGTCTGATCAGGAGGAATGCAACTTCGTACCATCACCATTCAAAGAACAGTTTTAGGTGGTTAAAATGACTAAAAGTTATATTATAAGTGATTAATGAAGTCAATTTGGGCTTTAAACAAAAACATTATATATTCAAAAATAATTGCATAATACTACTGTATTTTGAATTTCTTACAAACATGTCCTGTGGTACTGCAGAAGCACAGAATAAATTTACCACACAACAAATGAGCCAAGCAAAACTTGACAAACACATCACAGCAATTTGTTGTACATCGTCACAAAGATTTAATATTAGATGCTTTATGTTTTTTTTTTTTGTAACACCAACCCATTGCCACAATAATATTGCAGGAATATTACATACAGTACAACAAAATACTGTTACCTTTGATGTTTTATACATATTATAGAGTGACAGCAGGTCAATAACCGAGAGTGTAGTTGTTAGGCGAGAATGTATTTGTTTAGATTGCAACTATGCAGTTAATTTATACGGATATGCATAATTTCTGAGATACAGTGCGTCAGCATCCATCAGCCATCAGTCATTCGGCAGAGAAAAGACAGTTGACGTTTTCCATCTACAAGATGGTGACAGAGACTGCATAATAAGCCTTTAGAGGAGAAAAGATCTGCAAATTTTCAAACAACAGCTGATCTAATTGTCATTAAACTGGTAAGTGACATTCTCTTGGTAAATCTCTCTTGGTAGTGCTTTATTTATACCATAGTAATTGTAGTGTATTGAGTGTGAGATGGGACTCATCAGGAATGTATGTCTTTTGTGTTGGCCATTCTGTATAACCCTGAGTTACTTTTTGGTTGGTCTAATGAATCTCCTGTTTTCGTTACTGCAGACTGGTTCAGTAAAGCAAAAGAAAGACGAAATCCCTGCATGCGTTTAGTGTTTTTCCCTATCGCAAACACAACAGTAATCTGGTATTGTTTGCGCTGTTCTGGCTTTTTCAGGGTTAATTATTGTGATATCCTGATTGCAACAGAGAAATATTGGGAAATGTCTCTAGACTGATGGAATTTCATACCGTTCAGTCTTATAATGTTAAGATGTGAGCAAAATCAGCTGTTTTGTCATCACTTTAGATATTATGCTAGGGAATCATTCACATACTAGCTCTAAAGTGACATTAGTGAATGAGCAATGGTTTCTGCTGTTCTGACATCAGCTGCAGATGTGAAGGAATAGCGGAAAAAAGTAGTTCCTCATGCAAAAGGATTTTTACACACTCTGCGTTTTCTTTTTTATACACACGATTATGCTGTCAAACTATTGTATAACGCAATATCACACTCGTAGCAGTGCGATATGGCTGTATATGCCAACACACACCTCCCACCAGTGACGATATACAGCCATGTTGCACTGCTACTTGTGTGATATTGCTCACATATATATGAAATACCACAGGATGTTTTTGTAACTGTACTAGATTCATTGTAAAGTTGGCTCAATCTATCAATGCTGGTTGCAAACTGTGAAAATACGGAATTTCCTACTTATGATTATGACCTTTTTTGTGGCATTTGTGTTCATTCAACGTTTAAATCAAATTTTATATTCATAATAGTAGAGGGTCTAATTTTAAACCTTTTTTAAGATTTTTATGTTTAATATTCATTTATACGTGAATTCTCTTCAGTGTATCATTATTTAAAAAAAATACAATTATAGTTGCTAAAGAGATAACTAGAAAGTGAACTTGATGTCTATGTCGGCTATATTCTGTCTATTTATACATTTTATATAAACATTTTGGTTATATCCATATAGTTATTAAATTTAAACTATTTATAAATTAGTTATAATTGTAAATTACACCTATAATTTTTTATTATTTTGATGTCTTGTTAGAATTGTATATGTTTGTTTGCTGTAACATCAAATAAAAATAGATAAATAAATGTTAATGCAGTCTTTCTGACATAACATAAAACAACATTTCTTGATTGTTTGAAAAGATGGTAAAGCCAACTGTAGTGATAAAAGTGTCTACTAATGTTCAAATAACATTAAATAACAGGCTGACAAGTAAGAAAAACCTACTGGTTTGAAGAATACTGGTAATGTATAAACATTTAAAGTGAAAAATTGTGTTTTAATGCTGCACCATAATCTTTTAAATAAAGTCTTTTATTATGTCCACACTGTTAGGCCTGACAAGATATTTTGTCATCACATTGAACGTAACACACCGAGTGAAATTTTAGTGGGCATGTAAACCTGTAAAGATAAAAATCATTTAAAGCTATGTTACATTATTTTAGTTATCTTAGCATAAACATTTTGTCTTTGACCTACACACTCATACACAGGCACACGTCCATCACTAACCAATAGCATTTTCACGCTCTCTCAGAGTCTGGTCCACATAGAGCTTGGTCTTCTTGGGCACATTTAGACGGATGCTCTGGGCTATTGGGGGTCCAGGGGTCGAGTCCCTGTCATCAAACACAGCTGTCCTCTTTAGGATCTTCACAATCAAACCTCCTCCTGCATCACATACACACAGTTGAAATCCATTTGTAAATCCTATAGCTGCCTTAAAATGCTTTATCTACTATGTAACTTTTGTTATTACCTTTAGTGGTCATTATCAGAGTGCCGTCTTCCCGTCCATAGCGACCAAAACAAATGCTTGTCACTACATCCTGTAAAATATAAATAAAAGTCTCTAATGTTCCTTACAAGCTGCAGGGGCACTTCTTTCAGATTAGGGGTGTATCACTATCATGTAACATATATAATATTACCATCATTTTTTTAAAGGTTCTATTAAGTGCGTTGATTCGATAAATTAATTGGTCTCTGATATCTACATAGCGGTTTAGGTAAATTAAAAAAAATCTTTAAAAAAATTTTAAATGCTCAATTTTTACCGACAAAAATTACCCCTAAATTGGAACGCTTGGTTTTGACCATATTTGGAATGATGCTTTGATGCTCTGCAGCTTTTGTCAATGCCTGCTCTCACACACAAACACAACGTGATGCACTCTGAAATAAACTGTGCAAAATAATCCCATTTCATTTGACAAAAATAAATAAATAAACCAATTAAAAGTCTAGTTAAATCTTTTCAAATGAAGTGGGGGAGATTTTATTTTAGCTAGAAGCAATAATTAAGATATGTGTTTGTTGCCATACACTGCAAATTTCACAATATGCACATTAAACTAATAAAACATACATTTAAACAAATCTTATGCCTTATTCGGAGAGGCGCTGAATAAATGTATAATCCGTATAAAACACATTTTACATTTAAATATTAATTACTGAATGGTTTTTAAATAAATCATTTGAGTCAGTGATCCATTAAAGAAAATAGCCAATTTGTACAAATTGTTTATATTTAATAACTAAGCAGACATTTTTTTGTCCAAGGTGATTTATAAATGAGATCATTTGACCAATTGATTCAATTAATTACTCATTATAGATATCATAATAATAATAATTATTATTTATTTTTATATAACAACTTTATATTATATATTAGTTAAAACTTAATTCATAAATCGCTTTATACAAAAAAGATACCCTTTTGAGTAACAATAAAAATAAAACATTCAAAATAGATTTTTTTTTTTTGACAAAACCTCTGTTAGGAAAAAATAATATTTTTTTAATTATTTTTGTCTCTTACTTTTTATTAAACATTTGTATTGCTTAAGGTGATATATTAACCAAACTTCTCTAAGTGTGATACGCTTTGCATACTAACGAAGTATTTTTGCAGAAGTAGAAGTTTCCTGTGACCTCGATGTATGAAAATAACTTAATGAAAAAGGTGTGAAGACAGAATATTGCAGAGCATACCTTATCTGATAATAATGTCAGCTTATGTGCGCAGAAAACTTGACATAAAGGGGAAGTATGCCTGGGTGTGGGATGATTGACAAGTGATGAACTGATAGGATGATTGACAAGTGATGAATTCCACCAAAACTTTGCCTTTTAATACCAGTTGTGTATAAATACTGGAGTCAGGGAAATGCAGAGTTGTTGCAAAACTTCTGAATGTAATTCTTTTATTGTGTTGGTGTAATGCGACTCAGAGCTCTGTTTATTGAATCATTAATTTGTATCTAATATATTACTAATATTTTTGGCATTGAAAAAACCCTTTCCTGACCTCTTTATTGAACACGCATGGAATTGGCAAAAAATCCCTACACCTACTCCATAAATAGCTTTCACCATATCACAACCCAAACCCAAATGTATCAAAGACAGTTCTTACCGGAGTCTTGATAGTGCCGATAAGGTTTTTGTCTCTGTACATGTGTACTTCACAGTTGGCCAGACCAACCAGCACAGCCTGGAATCCTCGTGTGGGGAGATCCATCAGTGCCATGGTGGTAACAGGGGCTGGCAAATAAGCTGTCCACAGCTTTTTCCCCTGGACGACAATTCATATAAGAGATTCATATAAGAGACAACCCCACAGGCATTACTTCCAGGGTGAAAAATATGGATTTGTTTATCATACCTTTTGAGTGTAACCATGCAGTGTCTCATGAGTACATCCTACAACCACATTCTTTCCCATTCTAACCAGTCCCACTGGGTGAGAAGAAAGCTCAATGCAGTACTTGGGCTTTGGGGAATCCCTTAAAGACAAGAAAGCATATACATGTGCATGTTGCTTATCTGTTTATTTGGCCTTTTTACATACAGTAATTCAGAAACACTTCTTATTAGTGGCACTGGAGTAGGGCTGCACAATATATCCAGTTGACTTGGAAAACAGTTCAGAACACATGAGAATTGCGTAGTTGTAGAGTTTAACCATAATGGAGTCAACTTTTATTAAGTTTAAGTTTTTTAAGCCCTGACAGAGTATTTAGCCACACAAAATGTTCACCATTTGTAACTTTATTAAATAATTATATTGAATTATTTATACACTTCATATACACATAAATAAACACTTTTGAAGGGTCATTTAACATTTTTTTAAAATCTAATCGTGTACCTAAATCCAACTTGACTGTCATGAAAATCATAAAGCACTACTCAATCACACTTTTATTTTTGCTCTTTTGTATTCATCTATGCTTGTAATTTGTTTAGTACATTTTATGCGTAATTTACTTCCCTAAAGAGTTATCCCAATCAATCTAATTTAATCATTTTTTTCCAACAGCAGTTTTCAAGTCATCTGGTGAAATTGTGTATATAATTGCAATATTTATTGCAGAAAAACAAAATATGGCAACGTCAGATTTTATCAATATCATGCAACCCTACACTGGAGGCCATTAAATGAACTGCAGCAATCACATCCTTAAAGGGTTAATTAGGCCAAAAATAAAAATGTACTCACTACACTCATCCTCAGGTGGTTCCAAATCTTTATGAGTTTCTATTTTTGTTGAACACAAATTAAGATATTTTGAAAAAAAAAACGCTGGAAACCTGTAGCCATTAACAACCATGGAACACTCTCAGAAAAAAAAATACACAGTGGTACAAAAATAGTCCCTTAAAGAACAGTTTTGTACCTTTGTAAAAACTGTACCTTATATAGTACAGAAAAGACATCCTATGATACTGTTCTGTACCTCTTATGGTACAAATTCAAATGGAGATACACAACTGTTCTCATAAAAAAGGTACACAAGTGTTGGACAACTCCTTCTTTACTACAATATCTATAAAAATAAATATGACTGGAAAGGCAAAGTGAATGAATAATTTCCATATAAGAGTCATTCTTTAAAAGCATATGTTTAAAGAAACTCAAAAACATTAATTATTAAGTTTGATAATACAAAACAACTGGTAAAACATAAAACTATAGGTTTTGTAAACTAAACATCTAAGACATTTTTAATAAACGTTTGGTAAGAACTTTCTGATAGATACATTTTCATCATTGATATCCACTATCAATTTGCTTTCCACTACATACATGAGCTGGCAAAAGTCCCACATGTACAAAATTAATCAAACATTGTGCATATGTCAATACTTTTAAGGTACAATTTTAAGGTTTTAAGGTACAAGTTCCATAAAAAAGTACTGCCCCAGTGACAAGATTTTGTACGTTCTTTGGTGCAAAATTGTACCATTTTTTCTGAGAGTGTAAGGAAAAAAGATACTATGGAAGTGGCTACCAGTTTCCAAGATTTTCCAAAATATTATCTATCATGTTCAATAAAAGAAAACTCAAACGGGTTAGAAACAAGTGAACAACGAGTAACTGATCTCAGATTTAGAATTTTTGGGTGAACTGGCCCTTTAAACATTTGACCCCTTTAAACAAAAAATGCTTACATATAGCCCCAAATAAACATTTAAAGTCATTCTCAAAATTCCATCAAAAGTCACCTACTTCTTACATGGCTTGAAGTAAAATTATTTATTAGCTAAATTAAAGGAGAAAATAACAGCCATCTTTTGTTCCCCTTCGGGGGGAACTCCAGCACTATAAGTGGATTTGATTGTAAAATCCACGCATTGGGAGGTTCGGTTCAGAAGCTACTCGTCTGAAAGAGTATTGAACGGGCCAATTAAGAATGAATTGGCAGCGCAAGCCTGCGCAGGTGAGCGACATAAGCAATCAACTGAGTATATAAGCTCACCTGGCGCCAGCAGACGCTATCCTTTTCGCTTCAGAGCCTTTTCTGATCGAGCTTATGAGGGTTCCTCCTGCTGATCTACAGCCATTCGAGAGAACGATTTTCATCCCGGTCCAGAGCGAGTCCACGCAGCGGCAGACGGTCGAGCTGGGTATCTCCCTTGCCTGGCGTCCCTTTGGGTCCGGTCCTCCAAGAGCGGTGCGTATTGTTGCAAATCCTAAAAGAGCAACACAGTCGTGCAGCACGTCCTTTTCAGGATGGCGCTCCGACTGTGCGTTTCTGGTTGCGGGGGTTTCCTGGCTCCGGATGATGGACACGATCACTGCATTACATGTTTGGGGGTCCAGCATGTTAATGTGGTGCTCGGGGGCGGTTCATGTCGTCACTGCGATGCCATGACCGTTGCGCAGTTGAGATCGCGGTTAGCTTTCGTAAGAGAGCGAGCCACCCCAGTTGCCTCCTGTTCTGCAGCGGGCGCTCGGGCAGATCTGAGGGCTTCAGCGAAAGACAATCCGCCGCCCACGGGCTCGCGGACCTCTCGCTCCTCCAAGCGCTCCATCCAAGCTTCGGGTACTGAGAGTGATCCGTCTAATCAGATGGTAGCTCTCACGCTCGCTGACACCGGAGATCAGATGTCCTCCGCGGCATCGGAGGGCGGGCTTTCATTGTCCGACCATGATCCGGACCCGCTCGCCCCCTCTGGGCAAGCGAGCGCCGTCAAAACGGATCCTGAAGCGGACATGTTGGCCGTGCTTTCTCGGGCTGCTTCGGCCGTCGGGTTGGAGATGGTTTATCCCCCAGCCCCGCGGCCGGACCGACTAGATGGGTGTTACGTAGAGGATCAGAAGGCGAAGCCTTCGAAGCCTCTCGTCCCCTTCTTCCCGGAAGTGCACAGTAGGCTTACGCAGTCCTGGAGGGCACCTTTCTCTGCCCGCGCTGCGTCCGCCTCCGCCCTCACCACCCTGGATGGTGGAGCTGCCAGGGGGTATGAGGCGATCCCGCAGGTGGAGCGCGCCATTGCGGTCAATCTTTGTCCGCGTGGCGCCCCCGCTTTGCGTGGTCCGCCCCGTCTCCCGTCCAAAGCCTGTAAGTTTTCTGCCTCCCTCGGAGCTAGAGCTTACAAGGCTGCGGGCCAGGCAGCTTCCGCCTTGCATGCGATGGCCACCTACCAGCGCTACCAAGCGCAGGCGCTGGCTGAGCTGCACGAGGGTGGGTCTAACCCAGGCTTGTTACACGAGCTGCGTACGGCGACCGACTATGCTCTCCGGACCACTAAGTCCGCCGCCTGCGCACTGGGGAGGACGATGTCCACACTTGTGGTCCAGGAACGCCACCTCTGGCTAAACCTGGCAGATATGCGCGATGTCGACAAAGTTCGCTTTCTTGACGCGCCCATATCCCAGGCTGGCCTGTTCGGCGACACCGTCGGTGAATTCACCCAGGAGTTCAAGGCGGTGAGCGAGCAGTCGGATGCGATGGGCAGAGTCATCTATCGGCGGGGCCGTAAGCCCGCTCCATCCCCGGCCGAGCCATCCACCTCCGCTGTTCCTCGCCGAGGGCGCCCGCCAACGGCCGATGCCCCGCCCCCGCCTCCGGCGAAGCGAGCGCGTCGAGCACGCCGAAAGCCGGTAGCCCCTCCTGCCCAGGGCGCCGCTAAGTCCGGTAAACGGACCGCGAAGCGTCCCTGAGACAGGCCATCCGGAGAAGAGGAGACTTGCTCTTTCCCTGCTGGAGGGCGGGGCCCAAAATCCAACGGTACTTTTCAGTGCCACCAAAGTTTCGATCAAAGAGCATTTTCTCCCTTCCCCGGATGTGACAGCTCAAGCCCCGCCAGTCTGGGACGCGCTGCCTCTCAGCTCGCAGGGCTTGCATGCTCCGCCAGCGGCTCTCGGGCGCTGGGGGGACGGTCTCCCTTCTCCCAGCCCCCAAGCCCCCTCTCAGGAGTCAGGGTGCGGAGCCAGAGCGAAACGCTCTCCTCCAGCTCTTCTGTGGGACCCTCGCGCTCCCCGGATCAGCACACCCGCTCCTTGCTGCCCCTCCGCGGGTACGTCAACGATTGCTGCGATGACGTCATTAGCGAGGGCTCTGCCTGCTTGGTTAGCGCGGGCCAGCCCCTCGCGGTGGCTCATACGCACGATCAGACTCGGCTACGAACTACAGTTCTCCAAACGGCCTCCCAGGTTTACGGGCGTGTATTTCACCAGGGTCAATCCCCTGTCCGCCCCTGTCTTGCGAGAGGAGATTGCTGCCCTCCTGGCGAAGGGTGCAATCGAGCCGGTGCCTCCAGCCGAGATGGAGAGCGGGTTTTACAGCCCGTACTTCATCGTACCCAAAAAGAGCGGTGGGTCACGGCCAATCCTAGATCTGCGCGTTTTGAATCGCTGCCTTCACAAGCTGCCGTTCAGAATGCTTACGCAGAGGCGCATCCTCCGATGCGTTCGTCCTCAGGATTGGTTTGCAGCCATAGACCTGAAGGACGCGTATTTTCATGTCTCCATTCTTCCACGCCACCGTCAGTTTCTGCGGTTTGCGTTCGAAGGTCGAGCATGGCAGTACAAGGTCCTCCCCTTCGGGCTCTCTCTGTCTCCGCGGGTCTTCACCAAACTCGCGGAGGGTGCCCTAGCGCCTCTGCGGCTTGCGGGCATCCGCGTACTCAATTATCTCGACGACTGGCTGATTTTAGCCCACTCTCGGGAGCAATTGACTGCGCACAGAGACGAGGTGCTCCGGCATCTCCGCCTATTGGGGTTGCAGGTCAACTGGGAAAAGAGCAAACTCGCCCCGGTGCAGAGGATCTCTTTTCTCGGGATGGAGCTGGACTCGGTCACCATGGTAGCGTGCCTCTCCGGAGAGCGCGCTCGCCTGCTGCTGAACTGTCTGAGGGAGCTCGACAGCAAGTTAGTGGTCCCACTGAAATATTTTCAGAGGCTCCTGGGGCATATGGCTTCCGCTGCGGCCGTCACGCCGCTCGGATTGCTCCATATGAGACCACTTCAGCACTGGCTTCAAGATCGAGTTCCGAGACGCGCATGGCATGCGGGCACACACCGAGTCTCTGTTACTGCGCTGTGTCGCCGCACCCTCAGCCCCTGGAACGACCCCTCGTTCCTGCAGGCCGGTGTGCCTCTGGGACAGGTGTCCAGTCATGTTGTTGTTTCGACAGATGCTTCCAGCACAGGCTGGGGAGCCGTGTGTCGCGGGCATGCAGCTGCGGGCCTGTGGGTAGGTGCCCAGCTGCATTGGCACATCAATCGCCTAGAGCTGTTGGCAGTGTTCCTTGCTCTCCGCCGTTTTTCTCCGGTGCTGGGGCAGCAACACGTGCTGGTCAGGACGGACAGTACGGCGGCGGCGGCGTACATCAACCGCATGGGGGGTATGCGCTCTCGCCGCATGTCTCAGCTCGCCCGCCGTCTGCTCCTCTGGAGTCACCCGCGGCTGAAGTCGCTGCGCGCCATTCACATCCCAGGTATGCTCAACCGTGCAGCCGATGTGCTCTCACGGCAGCAGATTCACTCTGGAGAATGGAGACTCCACCCCGAGTCTGTCCAGCTGATATGGGCGCGATTCGGGGAGGCCCAGATCGATCTGTTTGCTTCCCCCGAGAACGCTCATTGCCAGTTGTTTTATTCCCTGACCGAGGGCTCTCTCGGCACGGATGCACTGGCCCACAGCTGGCCTCGGGGCATACGCAAGTATGCGTTTCCCCCAGTGAGCCTGATCGCGCAGTTAATGTGCAAGGTCAGGGAGGACGAGGAGCAGGTTTTGTTAGTTGCGCCCCTCTGGCCCAACCGAACCTGGATATCAGAGCTCTCCCTCCTCGCGACGGCCCTCCCTTGGCAGATCCCTTTGAGAGAGGACCTACTTTCTCAGGGACAAGGCACCGTCTGGCACCCTCGTCCCGATCTCTGGAACCTCCACGTGTGGTCCATAGACGCGAGGAAGACTTAGGTAACCTGCCGCCCGCGGTGGTTGATACCATCACTCAGGCTAGAGCCCCCTCCACGAGGCGCGCCTACGCCCTGAAGTGGAGTCTATTCACTGAGTGGTGTGTCTCTCGCAGAGAAGACCCCCGATCTTGCCAGATCAGTGTTGTGCTCTCTTTCCTTCAAGAGAAGCTGGACAGCAGGCTGTCGCCCTCCACTCTCAAGGTTTACGTTGCTGCCATCTCCGCTCACCATGACGCGGTGGCTGGCAGCACCGTGGGAAAGCATAACCTCATCATCCGGTTCCTCAGAGGCGCTAGGCGAATTAATCCAACTCGCCCCCCTCTCACGCCCTCTTGGGATCTCGCCCTCGTTCTTACGAGCCTGCGATTTGATCCCTTCGAGCCACTCGATACAGTATCTTTAAGATTTCTGTCCCTGAAGACAGCTCTGCTGGTCGCGTTGGCCTCCATTAAGAGGGTCGGGGACCTGGAGGCATTTTCGGTCAGTGACTCGTGCCTGGAATTCGGGCCGGGATTTTCTCACGTTATTCTGAGACCCCGCCCGGGTTATGTGCCCAAAGTTCCTACCACTCCTTTTAGAGATCAGGTAGTAACCCTGCAAGCGCTGCCCCCGGAGGAGGCAGACCCAGCCCTGTCATTACTTTGTCCAGTTCGCGCTCTGCGCATTTATGTGGACCGTACTCAGAACTTTAGATCTTCTGAGCAGCTCTTTGTCTGTTATGGCGGACGGCAGCAGGGAAGTGCCGTGTCTAAACAACGTTTATCCCACTGGATTGTGGAGGCCATTTCTTGTGCTTATTTGAGCAGAGGCCAGCCGCGCCCCCCAGGAGTGCATGCGCACTCCACTCGGAGCGTTGCATCCTCTTGGGCGTGTGCGCGTGGCGCCTCTTTAGCAGACATTTGTAGAGCTGCGGGCTGGGCGACACCCAACACATTTGCAAGATTTTATAATCTGCGAGTGGAGCCGGTTTCCTCAAGGGTGTTAGGTACCTTTGGTGATTGAGGAAACAACTCGGTAGGTGTTGTACACGCTTGCGGTGCCTTTTTTTCCCTAACACGGAGAGATGTGCACCCTCCTGTCTGTCAGTAAAGTTCCCCATTCGGTGAGCCCTGCAGATTCCTCCGAGGCCCCCAGCACTGACTCAGCGGAGGAGTCACTTGCTGGCCCATTACGTAGTAGGTCTGCCCGCTGGTCAGCCCGCGTTTTGGGTATAGGTGCCTGCTATGACCGATCCCCGCTGGTGATCCCCATATGCTTTTCCGCCACGGTTAAGTTCCCCCCCTGGGCGGACCCGTGCTTTCCCTATCTGCTAACCACCTTCTTATGCGCACTCCCCCTTTTCAGGGTTAGTCCATATGTAATTCCATTGTTCCCCCTATTGGGTGCGGATGGTCTCCGCAGCGTCCTCCCTACTGGGATGGCACGCTTCCCAACGTACTGTCGTGTATTCCTAGAATTATCTAGACGCTAGCGACTCCCAAAAAAGATACCTATTCCGTAAAACTTCTTTTGAAGTAGGATAAGTTAGGGCCAAGGGCACGTTGGAGGACCACGCCTCTCGTGATCTGGGTGCGTCACGCTTGCCTGACCGCTCTCTCATGGTGGGTGTTGGTAAGGTGCAGTCATTATGGCGCTTTCAATGGGCTCCCAATGCGTGGATTTTACAATCAAATCCACTTATAGTGCTGGAGTTCCCCCCGAAGGGGAACGTTCGAGGTTACTAAAGTAACCCTTCGTTCCCCGAGGAGGGGAACGGAAGCACTATACTCCGTCGCCATAATGACTGTCCCTTAGCTGTTAAAAGTCTCTTCAGCTTAAAAAGGATAGCGTCTGCTGGCGCCAGGTGAGCTTATATACTCAGTTGATTGCTTATGCCGCTCACCTGCGCAGGCTTGCGCTGCCAATTCATTCTTAATTGGCCCGTTCAATACTCTTTCAGACGAGTAGCTTCTGAACCGAACCTCCCAATGCGTGGATTTTACAATCAAATCCACTTATAGTGCTTCCGTTCCCCTCCTCGGGGAACGAAGGGTTACTTTAGTAACCTCGAACATTTTTTTGGGTGAACTGTTCCTTTAAAGAAGTTGCCGTTTACTTATTTACCTGCGTAGTATGTATATGTTGCCATTCCGACAGGCCACAGTGATACGAAACTCCACATCAAACTGACCTGTCACGTCCATAAGAGTGGGCGTACTAGGCAGTGACATCTAAAAAAAAAAAACACATATTTTGGGGAAATCATTTTAGGTTCATATTGCAATGTGATGCAAGTTTCTCCCTTAAAGCTGACCTTGTAGAGAATGGTAAAGGCTTCTGGATCCAATATGTAAACATCCCCATTCTCTGTCCCAATCACTAGGCAACTGACTGCATCCTCATCCGCCATGTTCTTCTTTAATGTTCCAATACAGGTAATGACCGTCTGAGACAAAAAGACAAAAGTTGTGTTAGTTAGCCTGTCCGTGTGTGAATGACTGACTGTATACATGTATTCAGTAACTGGTACCTGTCTACGTATAGGCTGTTCTTTGTGAAGATGAACAAAATTCTCCATTTCATGTGGCTCGAGCATCAGAAACCTGAAAAGATCATACGATAAAAGGGATAGATAAATAAATCAATAATATACTAGCTGTTCAGAGATGCCCAAACTAGCGTCCGGTTGGCCCATGGTAACCTATGATTTGGCCCACCATCACATCTGAGAAAAGAGGGACCACAATGGAGATGGTTTCGAGATTGTCAATTCAAGTTTAATGTAACCCTTTTTTTGTTTGTTTGTTTTATTGTTTAAAGCTAACTGAAATTAAATGCTTCAATTAAATGGTGTAAAATATTGAGCTTTTGGTTAAATGTGCATACTTTCACCTAACAATCCAGAGACTTTGGTGAGCAAATCAACTCAAGGCAGATCCTGCCCGACTAGTCTATTCTGTTCAGCATTGAACTACACTGTGATATAAATGTGATTGTTTATGTTTTTATTGCAATGAGTTATCATTTTACAAGTTATACTGCATTAGGTAATGCCATTTAAAGTAAGGTTTTCTATTTATTTTGAAATATTATTAAATAGCTTAGGATATTAGCCATGGCAATTTTAATGTAATATACTGTTCGGCATATTTAGCTTCGGCCCACAGCTATCAATGATATTAGGTTTTTGGCCCTTCATATGAAAAAGTTTGGCCACTCCTGAGCTAGTTACATGGGTCCTCTTGATGACATAAGTTTTACCTTTTTGATTATTTTTTCCTCTATATTGATCTTGATATGGTGGACAAATGTTTTTTTAAATAGCAATGTATTAATATTTTAGCTATTATCAAATATGTCTAAGTACTACCTACTTGGATCAAGCTAAGCATATCCGTTTCATTTATATAATTATGAAAAAAAATCCTTATCATCAAAATATGGTGTTAAAAAGTACAATGTTGTGTAAGAAATACAATGTTTGGTAAGTTTAAAAAGTAGTAAATTACTAGTTATTATTTACATAAACAAAATTGTATTTAAATTATTTTGTGTGAAAAGTATGTGCAAGCAAGTATATGTGATTTGAGATGTTGTGTTTTTCACTGCATGTTTCTTAAGCTGTATCCAAGACACTTTCGAATATCAACACCAGTTTTACATGGAACTAACCTAAAAAGTTTGACCTCATCATAATAATTTGGAGACAGCACAGTGTATTGCTGAGAAGTTACATGCAATTATGGAATATTCCACTTCATTGCATTTATGGATTTCCACTATACTTATTACAGTCTGTCTCTATTCATTTTTCGCAGTTGGTATGATTCCTGCTGCCATGTTATATTGCTATATTTTTCCCATTTATTCTTTATTTCGTATGAATTTATTCATCTGTATTGACCATATATGACATACTTTCTTCTCTGAAACACAAAAGAACATATTTCAATGTCTCAGACAATAGTAATCAGAAAACAATAATTCACTGACTACAAAATAAAAAAGTTAAAAAAGAAAAGTGGTTTTACCGTAGTGATCTGACAGACAGTGGAATTTCTGATTTGTCCCTGTTGAATAAAATAGAGTAAGTGTAAAATCTACATCACACAGTAATCCTATCCCCCTTTAGTTTACAAACAGTAACTCGCCTTAATCCTTCTAACATCTCTTTAAGGGTCATTGGATCAATCATGTCCTATGAGTTAAAAAACAATCAATAACCATCAAAGAGCCAATTAAATAAAATGACAATGCAAAAAGATGAATGTGTGATAGGGGATACAGAGTAAATAGCAGCTCACCTCCTTGGCCTGACACCAGACGTCCTGCTCAAGAGGGTTTATATCCAGGCTAGGGAGCGTAAATTTGAAGTAGGGTCTCATGTTCTTGTAGACGTAGATGAAGGGACCCGAGGCCACAGCGATGGCCGGTGTTCTCGGCTCGTGCAGGTCCATGAGGAAGGAGACCAGGCCGGTGGGCAAGTCCAGCAGGGTGCTCTCACTCAGCAGACCGGTGCCACGATACACCTTCAGCTTCATGTTACACAAGCCTGTGCCAAGATCACCTACTACCAGCTGGCACACGAAGATCACATTTAGTTACAAACCATTTAAGGTTTGCTTGCTTTTGCTTTAGAAAGTTAGTCAATACATCAGGGCTATAACGCAGATTTAAAAAAGAAATAAATAAAATAAAGAATGACAATTAAGATTCCATTGATCCAGCCACACAATAAACAAAAAAATAAATAAACAGGTAATTCTCACAACTGTGTAGACATTAGACATTTCTTAAAATGACAATATAAACTAAAAATTGCATGAAATAATGTGAGCATTGCAAGAAACCAATTTGAAGTAAAACACCATCAAAAGGGTTGTTTATGTTTGGATTGCTGCTTCAGAGAGCATGCTCTTCTGTTGCCATATGCTTTTTATTACTATTATTTTTATTTTCCATATTTGCTTTTTATTAGAAGCTTAATATGGACTCTATGCACAGCTAGAGTTTTAAAGCCAATGATAAAATTCCGGTGAAAGCTTATGTTTTTACAGCATCGATGTTGTAATGTAATTAAAATACACTCAGTTAAATAGACTTAAACATTTATTTAGTTGTTCAAGCGTAAAACGAGATGAAAGACCATGTAACCACTAACGCCATCAGTAGCAACAGGCTGGTGCTGAAACTCCATTAAAAATACTGGGGTAAAATAAACTGTCATCTTTTAAAAAAATGGCGAGGAGAAATAGAATTTAATGCAGTGCTTCTTGTCTGATCTGAGACCCACTTCATATCATATATCTGACAGGCAGTGAAGATCTTTAAATGTGACCATTCGTGTGCATATAGCCCATTAGGTGTCTTCAGGCTTAAGCAATCAAGTTTATATAGTAAATAATATAGGAAGATAAAGGTCACAATATTTTGGTGATGCATATGTTATTGTGTATTGTTATATGTTATGATTCAGGCATCTCAATTGTCAATCAAATCTGTTAGCTATTTATCTGTTTAAATAAATAAATAAATAAATAAATGTTTTTTAGTGTTCAACAGAAAAAAGAAACTCTTAAAAGTTTGGAACCACTAAAAGGTAAGTAAATAGTGATTAAATGTCCATTTTTAAGTATCTCTTTTTATTTGTTCAAGTCAGCTCTGTTGTAGAACATTGTTTGAGAGTCCAATCAGTTATTTTATGTAGTTGTCACTCAATTACTAATCCACATAAAACAGGATTAATTATAAATGGGGAAATAACAATGAAATTTAACTGATCGTCCTTTTTCAGTGGTAGAATGCTGCAGAACTGCTCTAAATATAACTAACTATGCTATAAAAAACAAACTATGTGTGTACTGAACAGGATTAAGCCCTAAAAGGCTGAACATTTTGGTATTTTTATTTATTCTTTGATAAACATATACAGTGCTCAACACCCATTTTGAAAATGAAATTTTGTTATTAATTTCTCAGTGATTATACGCTATGTATTTTGGTGCATTTAAGCAAAACAAATTTATTCAATTTATACAATTAAATTCAAGCAAAACATTAAAAAAAATACAACCTACAAACAAATTATTTTAACTAAATTAAAAAAAATTTGCTTCCCTTAATATTTCCTCTTTTTTTTATTTGTATTTAATATTTTTCTATAACATATACATTTGGCTGTGCTAGTTTTTGGACTGTTATCGTAAGTTATTTTGTTAAATAAGCTCCAGATTTGGCTTCAATACTGACTAATCCAATATATATGCACAGATATAATATTGTATAGCTTCCTATGAAAAATATGAATTTAAAGATAGATTTAAGAGGAGTGTACTCAAATATGCTGAGCACTGTACATCTGGAAACACACGCAAGTGACTTATTATTAATATTCTTTAGCATTACATTACTGAATGTAAAGTTATTTTACATTCAGATAATGTAATGTAAAAACAAAATGTGCAATCGATGTGCAAGTACACATTCACACCAACTCACCTTATTTTCACCATCGCCATGCAAATCTGAAAGAGCTGTGAAGAAAGATAAGAAGGATGAGTTTTGAGATTGGTAGCTGCAGGATAAACAGTTGTTATGGGAGTTATTGTGCAACTATTAAGTTCATGAAACTCACCAATGCATGAGGAGAAGGTGTACAGGTTGGCAACTGGGTCATAGTGGGCATCGAGCCATTTGGAGCTTGCCACCGAACTACAAGAGAAGAGGGAAACTTATTGTTTCAAACAGATGTAATGCTTTACAGTTGCATTAATGTTAAATAATGCATTTACTAACCTAACATGAAAAAACAATGAAGAGCACATTTATCACTGTATTTACTCATCTTTGCTAACACTACTTACTGAAAATAAAGATGTTCATTTTAATTGCATTAACTAAGGTTAATGTTGACAGGCATGGATTTAGATTTGAATGGTGCAGTAGAAAACGTAGAACCAGGAATAATAGTATTGTTCATTGTTAGTTAATGTTAGTAAATACATGAAGTAATGAAACCTCATTGTAAAGTGACTCAAACAGATCATCAGACAACAAATCAATTCATTTCTAAACGCTAGATTTAAAACACTCACTAAGCCGCCATGTTTGTGAAAATAGTTATTAAATGGCGTTCAAATATGGGTTTTGCTGCCTCTATAAAAAGTCTGAATCCTAATGTATATCATTCAAATCTCAAGCTATTCGAATAAGCTACACAGCCATGCTAACGCCAGGCGACATTTAACGCGTTTCTTCGCAAATGAAACACAAAAAATAGGAATGCGAGTACTCACGTGTCTTTCAACTCCTGGGGAACAGATGACATGGTTGTTTTGGTATGTTTAGATGCTGCTTATTAATAATCAGAGCTGTGCTAATCAAACTGCTAGGACTATCTGCTGTAATCCTTATATCGGCTTTCCTCGTTCCTATGGCAACCAGTCCTGAAGAGAGAGGAGAGAGTTTACGCGCGCCACATTGAAACGCTTCCGCCAGGAACGAGTTGTCATGAATAGTTCCGAATTCAAGTAATCCCTGTTTGCGGACGTGTATGGCAAGCCGTTTTACTTTTATTAACTCATATGAATTCTTGATACCAGCACTTACAATTTAAGATATCAACAATCAGCATTCTTGATAGCAAGAATTGAAGGGACTTTATGCTCAGCTAGAGTTTTAAAGCCAATGATAAACCTAGTTACTGTGAAAAGTTGTTTTTACATCATCGATGTTGTAATGTAATTAATACAATACATTCAGTTAAATAGACTTAATCATTCATGTTGTTGTTCAAGTGTAAAAATGCGATAAAAGACAGTTGTAACCACTACCGTCACTAGCAACAGGCTAGTGCAGAAAAACTCCATAGAAAAAACTGTGGTAAAATAAACTCATCTTTTAAAGACATAGCAGGGGGAAATGGGATTTAATGCAGTGCTTCTTGTGCAATCTGAGACCCACTTCAGATCATATACCTAACAGGAAGTGTAGATCGTTGGTTTTTAAAGAGATCAGATCTTAAACGTGACAATTTTGTAATGGAAAGACAGTTCACCGGAAGCCCGCTGGCTCATAGATATATATATACATTAGATGCCACCTACCCTGTAGTTGTCTGTGGTTCTCAAACTTTTTTCATCAAGTACCACCTCAGAAAAGAATTGACTCTCCAAGTACCACCAAAATGAGCAGTTTTGAAATACAGTAGCGTAGTAGGCCCAGTAAAGCAGCTACAACTCTGCACAGTTAAAAAAAAGTGGCAGATTACCTCAGAAATATAGGCTACATGTCATATATGGCATATTATATACATCATTTTTGATAAATTTAGAAATGTGTGTAGCATGTACATGACATATTTCATTCCTCCGCGTACCACTAGAAGGAAGCCTGCGTACCACTAGTGGTACACGTACCACAGTTTGAGAACCACTGGTCTATTGGAAGGAATGCATCAATAGAGCCGCCATTTTGGAACAGGGTAGCGCTCCTTTAAAATGAATGCGGGACCAAGGTACATTGGAGGACTGTGGCCATCCAAAGCCAGAGATATACACATATACACATTATATATAATAGTTTTCCTGGAAGTTAGTATGCAATTATTATTATTTTTTAATTACAAAAATTATAATTTTACATCATTTTTTCTACATTGACGTATCAGTGATCGCACTGGCATCCCTGACAAAAAGCTTTATGTTTGTGTGTACAGAAATGTACTATCCACCCTCCCTGTTAAATTTGTTTGCTCGTTACTGCACCCGTAGACAGCGCTAAAGTCCTGCATCTTCACGTTACACTGTCTTGACTAGTGTGATTGAATGACATTTGTCCTGGGAGCACTGTATCAATGTGGCGGCGCTATTGACGCATGCTCAGGGTCCCTATGCGATATCTAGTGTATATATCTATGGGGCTGGCTGGCTGAAAATGAATAGTCCACGTGCATATTCCCCATTCTCGCAATCAACAAAGATGTCATCATTTGCAGAAGTACAATTCTTAGTATCAAAAAATGCAGATTGTTGCCCTGCCAAAAAATCCAGCTTAAACCAGCCTAGGCCTAGGGGTTTCCTGGTCAGGCTGGAAAATGACCAGCTAAATCCAGCTAAAACCAGCTTGACAAGCCTGGTTTAAGCTGGACATAGCTGGTTTTGGCTGGGCTCCCAGCCTGGCCAGGCTAGTCAAGCTGGTGTTAGCTGGTCATCACCCAGCCTGACCAGCTAAGACCAGGCTGGAAATGGCTGAAAACCAGTCTGGAAATGGCCAAAACCCCTCTAAAACCAGCCTGGTCGACCAGCTAAAACCAGCCAACCAGCCTAGGCTGGTTTAAGCTGTTTTTTTTTCAGTATGGTGATGATAACCATTTAATTCTTGATATCAAAAATCAATATCCTGTTAAGCAATAAAATTTAAAAAGCATTGTCTTGATTTTTATCACTTCAAACTGACACTGTCAGAGAACACCCAATTAATGATGTTTGCTTAAATTCACTTAAATCCACTGAAATTTGTAAAAAGCAACAAGTTAACTTAATTCCTTTATGCTGCCCCAACACAAATCGATGGGGTAGCGTTTGCACAGCTAGGGTTTATTTCCCCAATAAACTTCTGGTGAGCAGTTAATGTAATGCTAATGTGATCCATTTTACAGAATCAATGTTGTAATATTATTAAAATATAATCAGTTAAATAGACTAAAGTATTCATTTCGTTGATCAGGTGTAAAATAAGATGAAAAGCCATTTACACACACGCACTGTCAGGATCAGCAGGCTAGCGCTGAAACTCCTTTGAAAATGGAGTAAAAAACATTTTCATATTTTAAAGACATGTTGCATAAAAATGGGATTTATTGCAGTGCTTCTTGTTCATTCTGAGACACACTTTATATCATATATCAATCACAATATATGTATATTTTATTTATTTTTTATTTATTTTTTTACATATATTTTTGACCTTTTTGCCTTTATTGAGCAGATAGGACAGTATTTTAGACAGAAAATGAAGTGGGAGAGAGAGGGTAGAGATGGCAAATGTAAGTGAGCCAGGATTTGAACTCAGTATGCCCTGAAGTTCAACTGCAGCATATGTCAGCGTGCTAACCACTAGGCTATTGCGCCGACAGATCATGGGTTTTTAAAGAAAACAGACATTAAATGTGTGGATTTTGTAACGACCTGAATCGTTTTAACCAGCTTACTAAAAAATTAATAGTCCTTCTGCATTTACCCTGTGGAACCCAGCATTTATTGCAGTGATTGACTGCCATTGCAGAGCAGAAGCAAATGGTCAAATTTCAAACAGCCAGTAAAAAACATAAATTCTAATTTAATTCAGACTTTGCACAACTTGAAGAGGAAGTTATTTAGATTGTTTTATTGCTATTATTTTTTTGTGTAAAGCTTACAAGAGCACAAGAACAAAAATACACAGATAAATATATTTTTATTATAAACTGATATACTACAAGTTTGAGTTAGCATTCAAACTGACAAAAAAATACATGCTAAATGAACATATTACTGCTGTTATATTATTCCACAATGCTTTCAATGAGGCACAATACAGGAAAATATAATAGAAACAATCGTTTAACTTAGAGACATGCTTTTGTTAGCAAGCAAACAAACTACCGTTAAACACAATCTTCACATGAACGTAAGAGGGGTTCCCAGTTTTTCATCCGCCAGGTATTTTTTCAGGAATGAGAGAATTTTAGCACTGAACAGATTCGTATGGTAATCTCTGGTGTAAGACTCAGATCTCGGCTTCGGGCTGCGCTTACACAGATCCTTCACTCCCCAGCTAACAATACCAACCTGTCCAAGATTACACAAACATTAAACAAGCATCAAGCATCTGTCAAATCAGACAAGAATAACTCTTATAGTCTTTTGGTGAGTTAGGCAGAAGATTTGAAATGATCTGAGTTGTGTGAACAGGAATAAACAAACATGAAAAATTATTCAAAATCTCACCTGGACCACTCGACCACCGGGGACTACAAAAGTGGCCCCTCCGGAGTCACCTGTTTTTTTGACATGGACAGCATTATCAACTTGTAACTAACTCAATTTATTAAACGGACAGTTAGACAAAAAATAATAATAATTCTTTCATCATTTGCTTGATTAAAATCTGTTTCAATGCTTTCTTCTGTTGAACATAAAGGAAGATACACTGAAGAATGTTAGAAAAAACAGCCATTGATTTCCATATTAATACTATACTTCATTTAGATTTTTTGTTTCTATTGGTGTCAATGGATGTTTTCCCCCCAAAATTCTTCAGAATAACTTGTTTTATGTTCAGCAAAATAAAGAAATTCATAAACATTTGGAACCACTTAATTGTGAGAAAATGGTGAGGAATTATTTTAGTTTTGTGTGAGCTATCCCTTATAACTAACCTTACAAGGTTATTAAAATGTTCTAATACTAATAGCATCACTAGGATTGGTAGATTAGAGCTAAATAGTATGCAAAAATCAAACGTACCTTTGCAGGCAATTTCATCTGTTGTGGGGTCAATACCACCGCTGCACAGAAAATTATCTGTAACAATATCTGTAGCTTTTTCTGCAGTCATTCCTGCTGCTTTCTTGGCATCTTCAACACAAGCTTGCCGCTGAAGAACAAATCGGTTTTTAGAACTTTATAACTGAGCTGAGTAAATATACATGTTTAATTGTTTAACTTATACGCCAAATCCTTATGACCTGTAAAATACCACAAAAAACTGCAGCATAAAGAGAACCATTAGCATAATACAATATATTATTACCAGTTTTCCCTGCTTGATTGTGATATCCTTTTGCTCAGTCTTTGTTCTGACTTCGGACATGAAAGCAGCTTTTACAGTTTCTCCGGTCATTAGTAATTCCTCTGCAAAATAAATAAATAAAAATAGAATCTGTAGTATTTTATGTGTGTCTTATTTTATGTCTTATTTTTTTGTATTGAGACACAACTGAAGTGTGTAATAAAAGTATTAATCATTTATTTGATTATTAATGGTATTGTCAGTCACCAGCAATCCAGCCTGTGCAGATCGCTAAAGGACTACAAATCTGCTGGTATATGGACTACAAGTTCCAGTCATGCAACACACACACACACACCTGCTCCAAGTCTCTATTGATTACACTCCCACAGCTCATGCTGCTCATGGACTGATTACACACACATATATACGGCTTATTTTGACACTTTCTTGGCTGAGTTTTGTTTATCTTCTTTGTGAACAACAACGCAGTTTCCTGGTCTTGTCCTTCCATGTTTGATCTCGTTTTTGATCATTGCTGCCTATACTGACCATTTGCCTGTTTATTGACCCCGGCTTTGGATTTGCCTGCATACAACTGTTTGCACCTGTTTGAGACCGTTGCTTGCTTGACCTTTCTAATAAACCTGTGTTTGGATTAGTGGTGGGCAAAGCGAGGCTTTATGAAACAGTGAACCAGTCGAAGCAAATGTGTCGAAGCATCGAAACGTTTCGAAATCCCACTCTACGGTGACACCTAGTGGTAATTTTTTTAATGTATTGCACTGGAACAGTTTCAGCAAAGAACAGATGAGCAAACTGAGGTATTAAACCCCACTTTGTAGTGCTGAAGCTTCAAGTGATTTAGTAGAGCAGTTAGAATCCAGGCTGATACAGCTATTTTGAAATGCTTTAATATCAGTTTGAAATGCTTTGTTCTTGGATCGTTTTGTTTTATTGTACAGACATTCGAATAAACATTTTTTGAATAAATATGTCTTGTTTTGGTCATAAAACAGGGTTGTTGTAAGATCAGATACTGTTGTGGCCAGAAGTTAACAGGAGTTATTTATATTATTAATTAAATTTCCCATTGTATTTTATTAACGTCTACCCAAAACCTAAACCCAACCATCACAGTACTGTAAAAATATTAATTGTTTTACAGTGTTAAAAATGATGCTAAATTGATGGCGTATCAGCAGCTGTATTCTATCTAGACTACACCATGAAACAGTAACATAATTAAAATACATAAAATCATAATTTTGGAGTATTACGAACATAAAAAATATTTGAAGCACAGTAACATCAGGCACACGCATGGTCAACTAGGCCATACGAAACAGAAGCTTTTTTCTGACCCTGTCAGTGAAAACAGATTCTCCAGGTCTCGAAACGCTTCTGAAATGATCAATGCTTTGAGTCGCTTTAGTCACATGACCAGATGTTTTGAAACACTTTAGTCACGTGACATGGGTTTTTCAGATCATGCTTCGGTGCAGTGTTTCGAAACACTTGAGCTTCGGGATCTTGACACTGTGCCAAAACCTCAGTTTCATGTCAGCCATGCCTAGTTTGGAACCGCACCTCCTATGTCCGCTTCAAATTACAAGTATACATAGCTTTAATCTTTATAGTGTTTGTTTTACATTTTAGTTTAATTTAAGTTTAAGCAACTTTTTGTATTTTTTTGTTCAAATTTTTATTATTTAATTTGACTTATTTCAGTATATCAAATTAAACTTATTATTAATGAGAAATGCGGCTGAAGAAAGTTTTTAGCTCTCCTGTGAAATTGTCGTTTTTTTTTTTTTTTCAAATAATACAATATTTATAGTGAACAGAACAATATTTTAACTAGTAAAATATTATGCACTTTCATCATGGCAAAGAATACATTTCTAAATGATTAGAAATAAGTTATTAAAACTATTATGTTTAAAATTGTTTAAGTCAACCATAGAACCTTTAGATATAAATAATACATGTGTAACTATGCAAATATGCTTTAACTCACTATGTTTTTTGCATGTTCCTTCACGATCTGAAAGTCTGAGAGCTCCATTGGTTTCCTTGGTGCAGGGGATACAGATTGGCCTGTACAGATATATAACAATATACAACGAACTGATTACACAACTGTATTTTTATTTACATAAAACAGTGCATGTCAAGTGACGAGCTGCATTTCATACCGAAGATTGACACTCATCTTTACAGGTTTCTCCAACTGAAGAAGAGCTACATCAAATTCATAGTATTCAGGTATTCCCAAGTTCAATTTTGCTTTGATGTTATAGTCGGGATGAGAATGAATGTATTTTACTTTGATTCCTAGAAAAAAACAACTGCTGAGATGATTTGTGAACTGAAATGCTCATGCAAATGATATGGCTGAAAGTGTACATTACCTTGATTTTCTGATTCCAGGTCAATAGTTATGGTAGCAGGTGTGTCATCAACCCTGAAGCAGTGAGCTGCTGTTAAGATAAAGCTCGAGGTGACAAATGACCCCATGCATTTTGAATTTTTTCCAGTGCTGCGCTGCAAAAACATCAGACAATTGGCTTTTGTCATTGTAAATTTGATAAATTAACAAACTGTTCAAAGAGCTAGCGTAGCAAAGAAAGTTCTATGAAATTTTTGTCCAGACCTAATAAAATACAAAGAATGAGTGTGAGTTCAGGTGTCACAGTGGTGCAGTGGGTAGGATGATCGTCTTGCAATAAGATGGTTGCTTGTTCGAGTCTCGGCTGGGTCAGTTGGCATTTCTGCATGTTCTCTGCATGTTCATGCTCCGGTTTTCCCCAGTCCAAAGACATGTATAGGTGAATCGAGTAAGCTAAATTAGCTGTAGTGTAAAGTATGAGTGTTTCCCAGTGGTTGGGTTGCGGATGGAAGGGCATCTGCTGTGTAAAACATATGCTGGATAAGCATATGCTGGATAAGCAGGAGACAAACCTCATGAGTTATGAATTAATTCATTCGATTTTTGTGTTAACACATTTAAGTAGCTATATAGCTGTTTGGACTTAATTTGTTCTGAAATGAACTCATACCGATTTAATAACTGAACTAAGAAGAATTATTAGCCAGAATTATTAGTCAGAATTATTAGCCCCAGCTTTCAGCTAAAATTAAAGCAGTTTTTAGTTTTTTAAAACCATTTTAAGGTCAAAATGATTAGCCCCTTTAAGCTAGATTTTTTTAGATAGCCAACAGAACAAGCCATCATTACACAATAACTTGTCTAATCACCCTAACCTGCCTAGTTAACCTAGTTAAGCCTTTAAATGTCACTTTAAGCTGTATAGAAGTGTTTTGAAAAATATCTAGTAAAATATTATGTACTGTCATCATGACAAAGATAAATCAGTTATTAGAAATTACTTATTAAAACGATTATGTTTAGAAATGTGTTGAAATAATCTTCTCTCCCTTAAACAGAAATTGGGGAAATAAATAAACGGGTGCTAATAATTCAGGGGGGCTAATAATTCTGCCTTCAACTGTATATGACTATTCATAATCAAATAATTTTGTTTCAAAACTTAAATGGTTTCCTGCAATTGGTTTCCTCAAACAGTTTGAGTTAACTTAACCTTTTGGGGTTTACAGTGTATTTTTTATATTTTATACACTGTAAAACCCAACAGTCAACTTTATCAAATGAAAGGAGTGTAGTTAACTCAAAATATACTGAAAGGTTATTCTACTCATTTGAAGAGTTTTGAACTCAGTGTTGAAGGTAATGAGTTCATTGGATACCATGGATGTCAATGGCTAGCAGTTTCTGTTCAACAATAAAAAAGAAGATCATTCAGCTTTGGGACAACTTGAAGGTGAGTAAATTAAGAGTACATTTTCAATCATGAGTGAACAAATTTTTTTATGCCAGTATAATGTAAGAGCATCACTATCTCATGAATAAGTACTAATAACTTTTATAAACGTACTAGTATCTATATGCTCTAATAGCAAATTAATAAACGCTAATACTTAATGGACAAAATACGTGTTGTAATATGTAGTGTTCTGTAGTGTGCATTTCTGGAAAGCTGTGATGCTCTTAACACTGTCAAAGTGAAATAATTGTCTGAATGTTGAGAATTTTGTGTTTACTAATCTCCATCTCCTCCTCGTGACCCTTTCAATAAGAAATAAACTTATATAATACATCATGTGGATACTCACAGTCACGGAAATCTTTGCTAGCCAGGGGTATTGACGGCGCTTATGGCTTTCAAACTCATCATCGTAGTCTTTGTAAAGTCCACATAACTCTACACTGTTGCCCTCATCTGTTCAATGATATGTACGAAAAAACAGGTCATTTTTGGATATTCTGAGCATGGTAGATTATTTTTGATCTCAGTTTATTTATCTACAGCATGAATCAAGTACTTCCTTAAAAATTATAATAATAAAGTACCAATCATGTTGTCAAATGTTTCCTTCAAGTCATCCAAGGACTTAAGCTTGAAGAAAAACTTCTCATTTGCCCTGTCAGTCTTTAAATCATTAATGTCCTCAGCATGCACATCATTCCCTAACCCAAACACATAGAGTTCTGTAGAAAAACAAAAAGCATCAACAAACATGAGATGTTTTTGAAGGTCTGCTTTTAGTAACCGATTTATAGATTATTTCAATCATTCGTGTTCTTCCTCACCAAGTTTTTCCTCCACTGAATTTTGTCTGACCAAACTTTTGATCTTGTCCACCAATGGTTTTGGACTACCACCCATGTTGGCTTGACCTGAAGAACAAAATGAAATGTAAAGTACAGTTAACATAGATACATTTTCTGATTTGTGGTCAAATGTGTTTTCTTAAATCATTAATTCACCCAAAAATGACAACGAAATCCGTTATTAAATAATTACTCACTCTTGTGTCGTTTCAAGCCTGTAAGACCTTTGTTCAGCTTTGGAACACAAATTAATATACTAAAACAGAAATCCGAGAGCTCTCTGATCCTCCTTAGACAGCAAGGGGTCCAACGTTAAGTGCAGAAATGAACCAAAAACATTGTCAGAACATTCCATGTGACTCCAGTTGTTCAACTGTAACCATACAAAGTTCCAAGAACACTTTTGTGCACCAAAAAACCAAGCCGCAACATCCCGCTCTCCATCATGAAGCCAATACGCAGGTAACTGAAACTGCAATTCATCAACTGGCCTTTGGGGGCTGGCTGCAGAAACTCCAGATGTTCACTGACTGCAGTGCGAAATTGGCCAATTTTACCGCTGATAAAAACATGTTTACAGCCTGATACAAAAGATGTTTTGGTGCATATAGCTATATTACCCTTCATGACAGTAATCGCCGATAATAAAGTGTTAAGCCTTTCTCCCAAAGAAAAACTCATCTAAGCAAAATGCTAGAGGTATCTGTAGCTCTGCTCACACCCCACCTCTTTGCCCATTTCTGGTTACCCATGGTCGGGAAGATGACATGCAAACAAAATGGCAATGGTTGGCCACGCCCACTTGTAGCTTAATTTGCGATCTTCAGAAATCTATAGGTGACCATGCATACTCCGTCTGTATTTTTACAGTCTATGCAAAAAAAAACTGTAAAAACAACTTTGTTCGCCATGTCTTTCACATCAGATCAGGGTGCGCATTTACTACATTGTACTGCTAATTCTAATAGTGTTCCTGGAGATTTGTGTGATAACAGTTGAACCACTGAAGTCACATGAAGTGTTTGTGCAGTGTTTTGGTGCCTTTTTTGGACTTTGAAAATTTCTTGACTGGTTCTGTCTACGCAGGATGAAAGAGCCTAAAATATCTTAATTTGTGTTCTGAAGAGATCTCGGGGGTTAAAATGACATGAGGGTGTGCAATTAATAACATCATTTTCATTTTGGGTGAACTAACCATTCAACAGAATGAATAAAACACACTTCAAAAGGCGCAGTACTAAGTATGTAAGTTGATAGATACCATCAGTAAACATGATGACGATATGCTGGGTCGCCTTGAAGTCCTCCTTATTTGTCATTAGTTCTATTGTCATACTCTCGTAAATTTTGTTGTAAGCCTGGGCGATATTAGTTCCTGATCGTTGACCTTTTTCTGTGTGACACCAAAAAATGACGTATGAGTAACTCGGATCTGAACAAAAGCATGTCCTTTTTTTGGCACAGTAATAATAATCTTTTAAATCACATCTCATTGCCTATGGGCACAATGTACGTACTGTCATATGCATAATCCTGCAGTTTTTGTATGATTTTTAACAGATCTTTTCCTTGCCCGTTCTTGAACTCTCTCATGGAGATTATCCGGTCAGTGTCTGTGGCAAAGAGTAGGATCTCATAGTTCGGGGAAACTTCATAATAACTGATCTGTGGAGTCATGCAATCATTATAGGTTTATCATTATAGGTTTATTTATAGGTTTACAATCAATAAAGACCAAAAAGTGAGGCTGTTGAAAAGCTATTTAGTTACAGTGTCTTCTCTCATTCTAATATATGGCAAGCCATTGTAACATTCATTCATTCATTTTCTTTTCGGGTAAGTCCCTTTATTCATCTGGGGTCACTACTACTCAGTGTTGAAGGTAATGAGTTAATTAAATACCTGGATTAATAATGGATTAAGTTCACAGCACTCATATACATACGTTTTTTTTAACTGAAATTGTTTGTAGCAATCGGTTTCCTCAATTGGTTTGAGTTGCCTTAATTTATTGGGCAGTACTCAATTTGAGTTCTCTTCACTTATTGGGTTTTACTGTGCTCAAATTGCTTCGTTTACTCAAATGAATTAAGTTTACAATACTTCCCTTAATACTTTCCCTGGTTTGAGTTACCATAACTTTTTGGGTTGTCAGTAATTATAAACATGTTTGCCTTGTAAACCACCAAAACCAACACACACACACACAAACACACACACACACACACACACACACAAACACACATCCACACACACACACACCCACACACATATGCACTCAGAGACAGCGCAATAGTATGTTTTTTAGATTAAATATTAAAGTGACTAGCCATAGAGACAACAGACTTACTTTTTTATATTATGCATGTTGTTCATTTACTTAATCATTTTAAGTAAATGAGTTTACTTACTCTTTTTAAGTATAGTCAACTAATAATTTTTACTAAAATTTACTGACTTCCTCAAATTTGTTTTAGGTTTTGTTTTGTTTTTGTTTTTCAGTTTAGCATAAAATGAGATATTTTGAAGATATTATGAGATATTATGATCACTGGTAACTATGAACTAAGGTATGCATTTTATAGATTAAAGGTTAAAATGGCTGGCCATACAGACAACAGACATACACACATTGAAAACAATTAATAATGACGAATCAGAGCTTTAGAGCAGTGGTGCCCAATCCAGTTCCTGGATAGTTACCTTCCTGCAGAGTTCAGCTCCAACTCTGATCAAAAACAACTAAGCCAACTAGGATCTGAAAGAGCCCTGGTATATAAAGACATGTGCGTAAAGGTTGCAGGTGAACTCTGCAGGAAGATAAATCTGAATGAATTATCAGGGCACTATTCACCTTTTCTATCAGTGTTTTAATGACATCTTTTGCCCGTTCGAAATCTTCTTCATCTATGCTGTCAGAAACATCCAGGGCTATGTAGATATCCAGTTTTCCCCCCTTATGCACTTGTATTTTCTTTCCGTACTGATCTGAAAACACAACAGTTGGTCTCATATAATAAAAAAGTGATGGTGACAGAAAAAAAAATCTTAAAGAGGAGGAAGATTGAGAGAGTTGCTCAAGACTACCTGTTTCTTCATGCAGTTGAGTAAGCTGTAGGTTTGACACTAGAGAACTGCTGAAAGCATCTGAGGCTTCCTCCGGGGTGTCGTATGTAAAATCAGCTGTATGTACACAACAACATTAGCAAAGCTGAATGTATAAATAGACTGAGAATCTTTTTAAATACATTTATTTTAATACATTTATTTTATGAATTAATTTAATGAGAAAAAAAAATGAAATAATTCAACTTGTTACAGTTAAAAGAATGAGCGATTTTAATTTTATTTATAAGATCAAACGGTTTTAAGTTGAAAAAAACGTAATTCATTAGGTATAACAAGTTTGAGGGGTTTAGTTGTAGTCTTCATTACATCTACAAGACCCCTACAGTAATCATCTTCATGCATGAGTTAAAGTATTTAAATCGCATTATCATGGTAATATAAAGCAGTGTGAGACCATCAAAGCGAAACAATACTGGTGAAGCAATTGCTGATTACAGACCAGCGAGATGCAGGATCAATGTTGAGAAGAAGCGGTGCTTCTCATACCCCAAATAAAATGCACAACATATTAAAGCGTCTTTGGTGTTTTCCCTGTTTTCTATAAAACAGGGAAGCCAGAAATCAAGGCTTTGTGGTGAAAATAGCATTGCAACATAGGACCATAGAGGACGTGATAACTAATTAAAAATGCTAATTGAGCATTTTGAACATTCTTCTATCCATTTGTACATTTTAATAGAAAAAAAAACGTACGTATTGTGCCTTTAAGACATAGAGAGGGGTGTTTACCGTAACATTGTGGCTCTGTTCCTGACCACTGTCCATTATCCTGACATGTTCGCTCTTTGGAACCGATCAAGCTCAATTTATTGTCACAGCGGTATGTGACTTTATCACCAATGTGAAACATGTTGCCTGTTCTTGTAGTACCAGCAGGAACTCCGGGGTCAGGACAGTAATCCGCTGTTTAAAAAGAAGAACAAAGGTTTTTGGACAGAACTTTTGTAGTTGCACTTTAGGGAAATTTCCAACTTACAGTTTCTTCCACAGATCGGTGTGCTTCCACTCCATTTCCCATTGGCCTGGCAAACACGAGACTCAGAGCCGCGGAAATCATAGCCAGACTGACAAAAGTATCTGGTTGTATCGTTCACATAATACCTTGGTGAATATGGATGCACATCTCCGTTTAAAAATGCACGAGGATCCGGACAAGTGATTTCTGAGATAAAAGCAATTGTTTTGAGAGCAGCAGAAAAAATGGTTGTGTTTATAATTCTGAATAAGATTAAGATTTTGTTTGGGTGATGGTACATTGCTCACTTTTGCATTCCAGGCGTTTTCCTTTGGGCAGCTCGCTCCATCTTCCTTTGGTACAGCGACGGGTTCTAATGGTTGGGTAATAGTTTTCTGGACAGTTGAATATTATGGAGCTCCCATCTTTTGAGATAGAAAAACTGCCTCCTTTAATTCTGATATCTTTAACGGGGCATGAAATAGAGGGTGGTGCACCTATAGAAGGACAAATAAGAAAAATAATAAAGGTGTTGCAAATTTGCACCTTTAACATTTTAAAAGAATCATTTTTAATAAAAAACCTTTGCAGAAACTTTTAATAAAATTTGAATGCCAATTTTGCATTATTTTATGTTGTGACTGGACAAATACATTATTAAGAAAATTCACTTGATTTTTCTTTACACAATGTCTAAAAAACATCCAATTTTCAGGATTACAAAAACATACATTTAAAAACAACAACAATAAAAAAAATAATAATAATAATACTTATAATAATAATAATAATAATAATAATAATAATAATAATAATAATAATAATAATAATAATAACACAAATATTTCTCCTTTGAAAACTACAAAAACAAGATCAAGCGATTAGGTATTGGCTAAAATGTAGTGTCGTGCTGTGGTAAAATTACATTCAAGAAAACGTTGCAATGTTTTTACCAACACTGCTAAATTTTATTAACATTTTCTACTATGAAAAACCTTTTGATTTTGACCTTTAAATGAAAAGATTAAATGATGTTTTAGAACCATCAATGCCAAAAAATAATCTTGATTTTATGTGCATTCATTTATAAAAAAATCTGAATTGCAAATGTATTTTACATTTAAACAATACCTACACTCTAAACATAATGGGTTGTTTCAGACCAAATATGGGTCAAATATAGAAAAATGTCAAATATATTTTGTAAATGAACAGTATAGGTCTATATTTGAGCTAGATTTGGGTTTTTAAAATGCTGCTTTTTTCAAAGTATAAAAACTTTGTATAGGCCTTGAATGCTCTTTTAAATTAAAATATAATTAATGTAATTTACTAAAGTTATATTAAATCAGCTGCACTAAAAAAAAAAATTATTTTACTCATGATAATTTTATGCATACATTCAACTGTGCTTTGCAATAAACAATATCTTTTTTATGCTTCTAATAGTATAAAACAAAAGTTTCTAAACATCACAAACAAGATTATTAATTTATTTATTTATTTTATTTTATTTTATTATTTTTTTTTTTTTTTGCAGACTAATAATAGGGAATTTGACCCAAGACCACAAAGCCAGTCATAATTGTTGTAAAGTGAGATTTCCGCATTATCTGAAAGTGAATTATAATATAATTAAGTTGATGTATGGTTTGTTGTGTTAGAACAATATTTGGCTGGGATACAACTATTTAAATATCTGGATTTTGATTTTAAAAATATATAAAATTGAGATAAAATCACCATTAAAGTTGTCCAAGTTATCCTTTAAGCAATGCATGTTAAAACTCAAATACTGAGTTTGATATATTTACTGTACATTTACAAAATGTCTTCTTGGAACAAGATCTTTACCTAAATTAATAGCTGAAATACAAAATCTGTCCCTTTGACCTATACAGTGTATTTTCTGCTATTGCCAAAAACATACCCATGCAACATAAGACTATTCAGGGTCATATATAGTCTATAAAATAAATGTATATAGTAAAAAAAAGATTGAATGCATGTTAAAGTGTGTCATTTCTTTTGAATCAGCACTTCCACTGAAAAACAGACCTTTCTTTTTCTATTTCTCATATAAACTAACATCAGTGTTAAAGACAAAGCAAAATGGCTTACCTATTATGAGAGGACTTTGTATTGTGAGCATGAATATAGCAAGCCATGATGCACACTCCATGATGTTCCTGTCAGGTTCACACAGCAAATGACATGAAAACAGAGCAGGGCCACATATTTATAGAATAAGGTTAACAAGAGGAAGTGACTGGACAAATACATAAAATAACATCAAATACTTTTTATGAAAAAGTCACTTGAATTGTCTTCATACAATCAATTTTCGGAATGACAAAAACATGCATTTAACAACAATTAAAATAATTCAAATATTCAAATATGAAAACTACAAGAACAAGATTGGGCCATTGGGCGTTGGCTAAAAAAATGAAGACTCATGCTGTGAGGAAATGAAATTCACACATATAAGTACAGTTGAAGTCAGAATTAGCTCCCCTTTGCTTTTATTTATTTATTTATTTTTGTTTTAAAATATTTCTCAAATTATTTTTAACAGAGCAAGGATATTTTCACAATATGTCTGATAATGTTTTTTTCTTCTAGAGAAAGTATTATTTGTTTTATTTTGGCTAGAATAAAAGCTGTTTTCATTTATTTAATTTTAGTTATTTTTTTAAGGTCTAAATTATTAGGCCCTTTAAGCTATATTTTTCCCCCAATAGTCTACAGAACAAACCATTGTTATACAAGAACTTGCCTAATAACCCTAACCTGCCTAGTTAACCTAATTAACCAAGATAAGCCTTTAAATGTCAGCTGTATAGAAGTGTCTTGAGAAATATCTAGTAAAATATTATGTACTGTCATCATGGCAAAGATAAAATAAATCAGTTATTAGAAATGAGTCATTAAAACTATTAGGCTATGTTTAGAAATGTTTTGAAAAAAATCTTCTCTCCATTAAACAGAAATTGGGGGAAAAATAAACAGGGGGGCTAATAATTCTGACTTCAACTGTAGGTCAAATAAAAAAATATAAAAAAAAGAGTTGCAAGGTTTCTGCCAATGTTTTATACTTCCACTTTTAATGTTTCTATTAATTCAATTACCATAAATTGTTATGTCATAACCCAAGAAAATCTGAAAAAAGGGAATTAAATAGAGAAGTAAGCAAAGTTACTTTAAGCACATCACTACATTTTTAGCTTCATTTTTAGCCAACAAGAAATAATACTAGTAACTTATAGCAAAATATGTAGTGTTTCTGAACTATAGTACAATAGTAAAGCATTTATCCTGACTTGTAAGTCACTATAGATAAAAGCATCTAATAAATGGATAAATGTATTCATTCATTAGTTTTCTTTTCCATTTAGTCCCTTTATTAATCTGTGGTCGCCTATTCATACTCACCTATTCACAAACATACTACGAACAATTTAGCCTACCCAGTTCACCTATAGCGCATGTTTTTGGACTTGTGGGAGAAACCCGGAGCACCCGGAGGAAACCCACGCAAACACGGGGAGAACATGCAAACGCCACACAGAAATGTCAACTGACCCAGCTAAGGCTCGAACCAGCGACATTCTTGCTGTGAAGAGAGAATGTGCTACCCGCTGCAGCATTGTGCAGACCTAAAAAAATGTAAATGTATTTAAATTTAAATTAATCTGATGTGGTAATTCTAAAGTTTTTAACAAATTAGCCAATACTTTATTACAAAACACACCACAGTGAAAATGTAAGGAAATGTAAGTGAATACTCAGAACTCTTATCTTGTTTATGCTCTTTTGACAGAAACTTTCTGTTGGCCATTCCACAGCTTCTGTATGTGGTTACAGTCTGGGCTTTGACTAGGCCACACTAAAAGGCCCATTTTGTTGGCCCCATTTGTAATATTAAGGCATGTATTGTGTCTGAGATTGCATGTCTGCATGTCTCAGCTTGCATATGCAAGTCTGCATTCAGATACTGCTAAAAACCGTATAGCAGATGTTCTGAATTGTGCTCAGACAATCCCACAATACACCAACATAACAAGTGTACTGATGTACATTCAACAGCTAGGTTGGATAAATCTCTTTGCACATCTGATTGTGAGATGGCACCCACTGCATAAGTCATAGTATTTAAATAAATGTATTTAATGGTTAAATTGACATTTGTATATAAAATACTTTATTTCATCACTAATAGTCAGTTCATTAAGTGTTCAATAACTATCACAGGGTCAGACCAAGGGTTTGAAAATCTAATGTCCAATTTATCAACCAGCAAAGCACAAAAAGTTTTGTGTTTACATTTTTGTTGAGTGTATAATAATATCTAAATCTAATGTGTGAAAATGTGACTGTATTGTGTGTCCTTCCACATTAGTTTGTGTGAGCAAAATTTGAATATGTACTGTTGACATCACTTGCATTTACACAGATTTTAGTCAAAACTAATTTAATAAGAACATTTTGCCATGTCTTGACAAATTTAAAACAACTTTTTAAAATGACATGGTAACAATATGAAAAATACAGTCTTAATATTTTGTATTTGAGATGTTTTTTTGTGTGTGTGTGTGTGTGTGTGTGTGTGTGTGTGTGTGTGTGTGTGTGTGTGTGTGTGTGTGTGTGTGTGTGTGTGTGTGTGTTCTCTTTTGATGACATGCAGGAAATACACAGCGATGTTTAGTTCTGCATATGTAATGGTTGCATGCATTGAGAAAAAAATGGTGCACCATCAAAACTGCTATGATGAAATCTTGCAAAATACCCTTTGTTGCAATCAAACAATTTCCAGAAAGGTTTACCAAAATGTTCCTGTGAACGAGGAGAATTTGCAACTTATGTGTTATATTATAATCAGCATTATTTTAAATAGCAAAACTGAATAGTTACCAAGAGGTCTTGTTTTAAATTTATTCTTTTCTTAAAAAGTTGTTGTATTATTTATGTATTTGGTCCAATTTATAGTGCATGAGTTCCATACCTTTATTATTTACATTTATTTACACTGTTATCAAACTATCATATACCGTTCTAATGAATAACAACTTAATATATACACATTCACCAGCCACTGTATTAGTTTGACTCCTCATTAATTATTTGATCAGCCAATCAAATGGCAGCCACCTAATGTTTGTTTCTTTCTGTCTTGGTAATGATGAGGGTAAGTAATAAGAGTATTTTATGTAATTAAATCTGCTTTTGCATTAGTAAGGTTTCGAATGCTTAGTTCAGTTGTTTCGAACCTTTGAAAAGCTCAGTATCTACAGCCTGATCTCATGAGGAAGTATTTTTAAGTTTTTCAGTTTAGTGGGTAATTCGTACAAATTCGTACGAGTTCAGTCGTACAATTTTATAAAGGAGGCATGGCACCCAATCCCATCCCTAACCCCAACCGTCATTGGGTGATGAGCAAATCGTACTAAATTGTATGAATTAGATCGTACAAATTGATACGAATTAGCCACTAAATCAAAAAGTTACGAATTGCTGTAAGATTTTGTTGGTATCTCTCATCATCATCAGGTATGAAAAGTCTTTAGAACATAGGTCTCAAACTCAGTTTATGGAGGGCCACAGCTCTGCACAGTTTTGTTCCAAATCTAATCAAAAACAGCTGATCCAACTAATCAAGGTGATCAAGACTACTCTGGGGACTATTAAGCAGGTGTGAGTTGGAGGTGGTTGAAGCTAAACTGTGCAGAGCTGCAGCCCTCCAGGAGTTGCATTTGAGACCATTGCTCTAGATCAGTGTTTCTCAACTGGTGGGCCGCGACCTAAAAGTGGGTCGCAGAAACTTTTTCAGTGGGTTGCAGAGTTTGGTCAAAAACAGCAAAAGTATCATTTTTAACTTATTTTGCTTATACCGAGCTTTTATTTTGAAATGCGCGTGCGACAACTGTCCCGTTTCACATGTGAAATTTTGTTTAATTATCACAACAAATATGTCGAAGCGCAAGTATGACCCCGAATATGTATTTATGGATGTAAGTATGGATGTAAGTATGGATTTACATATATTAACATATAACATATATTAACAACAAAAAAGGCCTAAAACCTCAGTGTGTCATATGTAGTGAGGTGCTCTTAGAAGAGAGCATGAAGCCTTCTAAATTAAAATGAGATTTAGAAATCAAACATCCCAGTTGCAAGGACAAACTTGTGGACTATTTTCAAAGACAACACTAATAGCTGAGGGCATCACAAAAGTTCCTAACACCTTCATGTTTAAAACAAGTACAGGCACTCTGTGCTTACTGTGTAGTTCACGATAGCAAAAGCCAAGAAAGCCGACACAATAGCAGAAGAGCAAATAACTGGTGATTATTACAAAAATGGTCATGATTATTTTAATAATTTTACTGTAACTTGCTGGTTTGTTCTGTTCAACAGGATCAGTGTTAATGTTTTGTAAACAGTTCAGTTTAGTTCATAGTAACTGAACCTTTCCTTGCCCTAACCACTGTTTACAGTATTTGAGGTTTTTACTTTGCAATATTTGCAATATATGCAATATTACTTTACTTTGCAATATTTAAAAGTATGTTAACAAATAAATTCTAATTAATTATAATTGCACCCGTCAAAATGAAATGCAAAGAACACCTGCAATCCCATTGCTTTCCCATTCCACAGATCAATATCGTGCCTTAAACAGACCAGCAAACAAACTATATTCAGACACTAGTCTAAATTCTGACTGATTCAGTGTGTTTATCTGAACAAACCAACTGGTCCCAGACCCCCTAAACAGAACTATATGATCCATCGAAATCTCTTTTTTCGGAACATTCTTTCACACTTCATGGAATGCACTGTATATGAACAAATAAATATAATATCAAGAATTTTTTATTTAATCATGATTTGACATAAACATTTTCTTGTTTCTTTCACACCGATTTTTATCTTTAAAATTATATTTCCCATAAACATTTGAATTAAATCTTGGCAAACAGCAACTTCACTTGTGCCAAACAAAATCTAAATAAATAACACACTGCAATAATGACACAAACACAAATTTCTCTAAATTCTCTTTATTTGGCTTGAGGTTAAACATTGACTACTGAATGTAATAAAATCCTTTTTCTGGCGCCACTATAAAAATGACCCCCAGACTGTTTGCTTCTGTGTTTTTGTGCCTCATCTGAAGTCTTGA